TCAAGTTTTTGTTAGAAAACAATAAGACTACGTATAAATCTTAGATTTAGAAGTAGGTTAGATGGCAGGAGCATGATTTGAAGTCTCTGGATCGTGAGTAATAGATAATAGCAAATGCTCCAACAAGAAATCAATAGGGGCTTTGTCACATTAAAGTTCATGAAGATAATCAAGAAAAGGTAGGATGGCAAGAATAGTTAAGCAAAATGAGGAGAGAATAAGTAACCTTCTGAATCAATACTCTTTGAAATATTTGCGCTCTTAAACTGGACATGACCTTTTCCCACATGGCATTCATGTTTACAACAAAAATCACAGTGAAAATTGGCTCCAATGAGTACATAACAGCCACTCTACCGAGCACTTTCCACAGAGGCTCAGGTCTCGCCCCTATAAGTACTTCAAAAAATCTCCCTGCATTGACACTCCTAACCAATAGTTAGGATCAGTAGCTTATATCTCATATAAGCCATTAATAAACAACGTATAAATAAGATATGGAGTTGTAAGTACTACAACGTCAGAAATCCACAAGTTGATTGAAACTGACAAACTAAGCTTATAGAATGAGTGAAGACTGTTAGGAGGACTCCGAAGCAATCGAATACAAAAGCAAGCAGAGTTTATGTGTTCATACAGTGCAAAGATATTTAAATACGGCTTACAATGCTACCTTAAACGAATAATTGTGTTAACCGTATAAGATTATACTAGATATGAAACGCGAAGATTAAACGGTGGAGTCATTTTATTGAATGAGAGTACCAGAGAGTAGAGGCATAGTGAGAGTGCAGGTAGTGCAGCCAATGAGGGTGAGAACAGAAGCGGCAAGCTGCACCTTGTGGTCAGACAGAAGCCTCCATAATAGTCCCCAATTGATCACTTCAATCGGCTGGGCAACAAAATTATCGCCGGAATCTTCGAATTTAAGCTCGTTTTCGGATACAAAAGCGTCAATAGCGGGGCCGGCATAAGCCGAGGATATGACGAAGCGCTTCGGCTTCTGGCAACGAGCTAGTACACGCCGTGAGGCTAGCGATGAAATGCGAAAGCGCGAGTAATGATTTAGATGCGCCCCAAGCAAGGGGGGCTGTCGGCGGTGTTTTGGCGGCGTAAAGTGGCGGAAGGGAAGAGTGAAGGAGGCGGCGGCAGCGGCAGCCATGTGTTTGTGGAATGCAAGTAAAAGCAATCGAGACAGCGAAGCGTGGAGTGTGGAAGAAGAAGAAGAAGAAGTTGTGAAATGTTTGGGTATTTAATTGCTGCTTTTTTCACTTTTCATTTCAATATTGCGTAAGTGAAGGAGGAAACGAGTAATAGTCTGCGCTCTATCCAATCTAATTTTCGTCGTATCCAAAAAAATAATAATAAGGATCGTTCTTGAACTATTTTGTATAAGATCCTAGCATACACCTTAGGCCTTTTTGGAATCGAATTATTGGTATTTTAATATTAGAATGAAATAGGGATGAAGAATATAAATCTCTATCACACTTACGTACTCGAGGTGATATGATATGATAATTTGTATAAGTATTCTTTGAATTTGAAACTCTTTTACTACAAGAATAATAAGATATTTATATATAGTCACACTTATATAAGACGGGTCAGATTGAAATAGGTCAATATCTAAATGTAATACAAAATATGAGTAAAATACTTGTTATTTATAAATAAAAATGTAATATTTTTATATTTTGATGTAAAAGTATTACTTTTTTCATTAAAAATATTATATATTTTTTTTTGTAAGTAAGGTTGTACTTATAAAAGAAAACGTAATACTTTTACATCAAAATGGTATAGAAACCATGGCTACATCAAAATGATCTCAAGCTATGAGTGTTCAAATGATGTGATTCAAGTGTCATTGGAATGGCAACTCAAAGGGCTACAACTTCTTTGAAGACCACAAAGGCTAATTCGAATGTCTGCAATGTGAAAATTGTCTAGAAATCATAATTGTTGCACATAGTGGGTGGTCACAGTCGAGGTTACGGCGTGAACTCAATTGTAACCACAGGCCCAACATCCTTTTTAAATGATATTTTTAGCGCGATTTGAGGAGTATAAATAACCATATGCGGTTATTTTTAGAGAACTTTTCATTCTCCACACTCTTACGGTTTTCTTGGGAAGAAAACCTCTCCAAATATTTTATTTGTGTAATATAATCAATCAATCTTTGAAGAACAATTTCATATTTCATCTTGTAATTTCAAGATTTCATTTCCATAGTTCTTAATCCAAGCTAAATCTTTATTGTTGTTTTCTTTGTATTTTATTGCTTCCAATTGTTGTTGCAAATGTCTTTAATTTCAACCCATGCTTATATAGATTCAATTAGGGATTATATTAAGTCATATGACCTTTTGTGATTTATTCTATGTGATTGAATTGAGCTATGAGCTAGTGCAATGACTTGATGATGACTCTAGTTGTGAACTTGATTATTTGTATTGACTCTTGTAGGGTTGTGATCAAATTATGCAAGAGGTACATGAAAAGGTTTTATCACTATGATAATAGATTGAGCAATACCATAGTCATACCCCTCACTAATCCAACTCACCTTTTGAGAAAATGGGATGAAAGAAGATGTGAACACCGCATGTTTTATAAATGGCTTCAATGGCATCGAGTCACCATGAGAGTGGACTTGAAGCTAATTGAGAGTCCAACGGCCACGAGAGTGGCGTTGGCACCTAGTAGCATCTCCCTAGTTCCATTGTCAATGCATTACATGAGCTATAATCAATGATACACTATACCATATACACTTAATGGTCCATTCCAATCCTTTACTTTTTACTATTGATGTTTAATTTTTGCTTGATCTTTCATTACAATTTTATTGTCATTTTATGTATTTGGTTATTATCACACGAGTCACATATATTTAGTTGAACTAGCTTCAAAACACTATACATTATTGTGATTAACCACTTACTATTCAACTCATTGAGATGATATATGGTGTGAGTATACCCTCTCACAGTACTCCATTCCACCATTTTTACATAACTTTGAGTTTACTAGAAATGTTTAGAATTTAGGGGATGGCAGTGTGGAGGTAGCATGTATGTTACCTCCGCAGTGATTCTAAGGGCGAGATCCTATGTGTTTATGATTAATTCGAAGTGAGACTAGCTCATAGATTACTGTTCGTAAGACGGGTCGAGTCAAGATAAAAATGTAATACTAATAAGAAATAAAATGTTTATTACTTATATGAGAAATTGTAATACTTTTGAATAAAAATGTAATACTTTTACATTTTAATTAAAAATATTACATTTTTTCTCAAAAGTATTATTCCGTACATTTTTTCCTTATAAGTAACAAACATTTGTCAATATTACGTATAATGAAAAACGTAATAATTTTGATGAAAAATAAAATAATTTTTTCTTTTTTTTTTTTGCATATGTATTACTTTTTTCATATTGACCCAAACCAATTCGACATATCTCACGAATAAAAATTTGAGACGATCTTACACCAATGTGACTCTTTAATTAATATACTCATGTTTGAAATTTACATCATATATTCTTGGGGGTGTTTGGTTATTGGCTTATCAGTCAAAAAATAACTGATTTGACCAAGAATAGCCGATTGATCGGTTAATAAGCTGTTTTTGAGTGTTTGGTAAATGGCTGATTGGCCTTAGCTTATTCGCTCAATCATCCAAAATTTAAAACGCTGGTTACTGCAACGTTTCTAAACGGCTGATGCGTAAAAGGCAAATTTATCTCTTAATTCCTAATCCTTCAACCTTATCCCTTAATTCACTTTTCAATTCGCAGCTCAAAATTAGTGGCTTCACTTCAATTTATAGTTCAAAATTAGTGTTTTCTCTTCAAGTTGCAATATAATAATAATAATAATAATAATAATAATAATAATAATAATAATAATAATAATAATAATAATAATAATAATAACTTTTATAAAGTAATTTAAAAGAATTAAGAAATTCGTATAATGCCCTTATAGGTCATTTTACATCTAATCAACTAAAAGTAAACAGCTAATTTATCAAACACTTTTCTATAATCCGCTGATACAACCAGTTAAACAAATCAGCTAACACAATCAGTTATAAGGTATCAACTAACTCAATCAGCTATTAGCTAATTGCCAAACACCCTTATGTATGTATAATAATTATTAGTAGTAGTAATTATTGTGTATAATAATAAATAATAATAATAATAATAATAATAATAATAATAATAATAATTATTATTATTATTATTATTATTATTATTATTATTATTATTATTATAAGGCATAAGTGTCAAATAAGCCCATCTACTACTGCGAAGTGCTCAATTTTCACCACGAACTAAATTAAGTGTCGAATAAGTCTATCTACGAGTTAAATTTGTTCAATTAGCTTTTTTTTATAGGTTAATAACAAGTTACCTATTTAATTATTAAAATAAATAAAATAAAATAAAATAAAATAAAAAAAGAATACAGCCACCGGCTGTCCTCGCCGGACAGCCGGTGGCTGCCATTTCAAAGACAGCTGTGGTTGTCCGGCGAGGACAGCCGGTGGCTGTATTTTTTTTTTAAAATTATTTTTTTAATAATTTTTATATTATTTTGAAATTATTTTTTTAATAACTATTTGGTAACCTGCAAAAACAAGTCAATTACCTGCAAAAAAAGCTAATTGAATAAATTTAGTAGGTAAGTGTGGTTAATTAGCGTTTAATTTAGTTCATGGTGGAAATTGAGCACTTGACAATAGTACATGGGCCTATTTGACACTTCTTCCTTATAATAATAATAATAATAATTATTATTATTATTATAATCGTGGGAAAAAACCTAGATAAAAGGAGGTGTCTCCGTAAAAGCTGTAAGCATCAAATCCCCCACGTGTCTGCTTGTGAGTAGCCATTGAACCTACTGTTCACGAGATTCTGGTCTTCTGCTCACCTCACCGCTGCCACTCATCACAAACACCCACCCAACCCCCAACCCCCAACCCCCAACCCCCAACCCAACCCTTCGTCGCGCTCACGTCTTCTATCGATTTCATATCCGCCGAACTCACCAATCTGCACACTCTCTCTTTATATTTCAATGGAAGCTCATCAGTCAATGATGCCATAGCGAGATTTCGCCTTTTTTCTCCGTTGACACTGTAGAAAGCGCTCGAAATTTTAGCCTTTTGACTTTCTTCTCCATCTGCCTCCTGTACAGTGCTCGCACCTATGGCACCGCGTCGTTTGGTTCTGCTCTTCGCTCTTTTTTCTTCGATTTTTGCAGTTCTCAACGCCAGCGATGGAGATGCCGATCCGATTTACAAGTCAGTTCAGCTTTGATTTTCTTTTTCTCGCCTTCTCGCTCCATTTTTTTACTGATTAACTTAATTAAATCTGTTTAGTGTATTTTTGTTCTCATCTGGTGATGAATGTAGTACAATTTAGCTCAACTATGAACTGATGTTGATGGTGTTTCACAATTCAGAAGCCTTAAACAAATTAGGACCAATAAGAATCAGTGCTTTATTTGGAACTTAATGTCAATGCACAATCTTGGAGTATATACTCCTTATACACTGATTTCCAAAAAGAGATGTTGCAAACAAGTCCATTGCTGCAGTAACAGTTTAGCATGGAAAACGTTGAATGGGAAAAAGGACAAGTATCTAAGAGAGTTCTTGCACAGTTGGGAAACTCTTAGTGTAACTGAACTTTGTATGCTGTGCAAGTTCAAGTTCAAGTTCCATAATTTAGAAATGTAGTCATTAGTGCATTGAAGGTTGAATCTACTGCCAAAAATAAAATTAACAGTGTGCTTGTTTTTACTTTTAATAAGTAAATTTGCTTGAAAATAATATGCACGATGTAGGGGTAAACTGAACTTTTGAAAAATGTGTGCTTTTATACTAAGTAATAGGGGGATTATAAGTCAGGTGAACTTTTCTTTAAATCTTTTTTTATGATCTTGAGATTGAGAATGTCATTCTGCTAAATATAACCCATGCCAGTGGTTTTATCAACTTCAGTAAAACAGAAGCTAATGTATGTTCTTGAATGCAGCTTTGTTGTTATTTGTAGCTGCATTTTCTTGTGATATGTCTTCTGACTTGTGCTATTGCATTCACCAAATTGCTGCTTTGACAGAGTTTGTGTTCAGCAATGTGAGAAGAGTGGATGTGTAGGGGTTAAATGCTTTCAGCATTGTAATTTTTCATCTGGTGGGAATCCCATTGATGGTCCGTGGTATTTGCAAGAACCACTTTATTTAAAGTGGAAACAGTGGGATTGTCTCAGTGATTGTCGATATCATTGTATGCTGGCCAGGGAGGAAGAGAGACAAAAACTTGGGCTCAAGCCTGTCAAGTATCATGGAAAATGGCCATTTCAACGTGTTTACGGAATTCAGGTTTTCATGCTAGAGAAGCAGATCACTCATTTTCCTACTTAATTCTGTCAAAATTTTGGAGTCTTGTATTGTTGGCACACCTTAACTATATTTTGTTTATATATATTCAGGAACCTGTTTCTGTGGCTCTCTCTGCTCTCAATCTTGCTATACAATTCCATGGCTGGGTATCCTTCTTCATTCTAATTAATTATAAGCTGCCATTCAGGCCGAATAGAAAACCATATTATGAGTACACTGGCCTGTGGCACATCTATGCTATTTTATCAATGAACTCTTGGTTTTGGAGTGCTGTTTTTCATAGCAGGTGAGTGATAAGTGTGCGTATGGTTTTTTTTTTTTTTTTTTGCCTTAAATTTTATTTAATGGATACTCCTATAAAATGCCTGAAACTCTGCTTGTGTTTGTCTTAAAATTGAGTAATGTTCATCTTTTGTTTGTGACTCGTGCTCTTTTATGACCTTTATATTGAACAGTGAATCTACAGATAAAACATGTACATGCAGTTTGTTTGTTTCATTTACATAATTTCAGCTGAAGTAAAATAAAGACTAATAATTAGTCCAACAATTTTGCGACTACCAATACATGTTGCTCACTTGCTCTAAAGATGTTGGGGAAGAGTCCTTGATGTGAACCCACTAGGGCAGGTACGCAGTGGACCAAAAAACAGTAGGGGAATCTCCTTAGCTTGGCCAACCCAAAGGACATGAACTCTAACTTAACCGCAAAAACTAGTTTAAGAGTGAAGATTTTACCCAAACTTTAGAAATTGATCCAGGACCGACACCACCCCCCCGCCTTAATCCCTCAAGACTAATGTGTGGGACACATCAATTCTATTGGTGCCTGATTGGAATGACATTATCCTTGTTTTATTCTGTTAAAATGCAACTTCAGTTATGAGTGTTTGTGTTCAAGTATCCTTGAGCCTTACATTGCCTCACATCACCAGCATCAATTATATATATAATTTTATTGTGGTATATCATTATATTCCAATCCACTTTATATGTGACAAATGGTTTGATTTCTAATTTCTCATTTTCCTTGTCTTGATGTTGTGAAATTTTTTGCAGAGATGTGGATTTGACTGAGAGACTAGACCATTCTTCTGCCGTGGCTTTACTTGGGTTTTCTGTTATCTTGGCTATATTGCGAACTTTCAATGTGCGAGATGAGGCGCCCAGAGTAATGGTTGCTTCTCCAATTATTGCATTTGTGACAACCCATATCTTGTATCTTAACTTCTATCAATTTGATTATGGTACGACTGACTCTCACTCAGCTCTCATCTTCCTTTGCTTTCAACATTGTCAGGGCCACCTTACTAAGTCGCTTTCTTCAGACTCAGATTGGGGCTAAAGGTTTAGTTGAGTTGATTGCTTATTTTGTAATTGAAAAAATGTGGTGCAGGTTTGAACCGGAAGGTGTGTTTTGGTATGGTGATGGCGAAGCTTACAATATGGGGTGTATGGGCAGGGGTTAGTCGTCATCCATCACGGTGGAAGCTGTGGGTGGTGGTGATTGGGGGAGTTGTTGCCACCGTTGTTGAAGTATTCGACTTTGCTCCATACTGGGGATACGTGGATGCCCATGCTGTTTGGCATGCCACCTGCATTCCTCTCACCTACTTGTTTTGGAGTTTTGTAAGGGATGACAGTGAATTCAGGACAACTAGTCTGAGTAAGAAGGCAAAGTAGGATGGATCTGCCAAACTGTTGTGATGATGATCGTATCAAACTGGATCACCTTTGTATTGGGTCTTTGTTACAGTATCAGCAGACTGTCTTCCTCATTTTTTCTTTTGGGGTTGTTTTTTCTCGCATGATTTGCCTGGGTGCTCACTCCATGCGGGTTTCTTTGTTCTATGTTTTAATTCCATAGGTGTAGGGCTATTAGATGCATTGTTTGTGTTGCAAAATATAATGGTTCTGTAATTCAAAAAGTCAAATTCATACGTTTCTACTTTTTTTTTTTTTTTTTTTTGAAAGGATCTACTTTCTCTTTTAATTACATTGTTTTTTTTGGGGGGGTGGTGTTGGGGGTTGAAACACAAGTGAACTTCACCCAAAATGTTGAATTTCCAACTCTAAGGGCCTCTTAAATCCTGACCCGATAGAGCAGTTAGAAGAATGTAAATCAAGGTGATTCCTTCTACACTCCAATCCGATAGGGCATTTGGGAAAATGTAAATTACGGTGATTCAATGATTCAGCAGATAGGGTCAAATGCTGATGCACATAAGGGAGTTATCCACTTTGAATATAATTTCCACACGGCTGTCGTCAAGGTTCAAACTCACGTGGAGTAAAATCCAGAAGTGAAGTTGAGGAAAGAGTTTGGATGTAATTCATTCAAGCCTTGGTATCGGATATTTTACAATGAAGCCGTACAACCTCAAAAAATGAAGTACGGGTAGTAGCTAATCCTACATAGAATAGAATAGGAATGGACGCTTTTCTTTTGTTGAAAGGCAGGCATCCCTCCTGTTCATATAACTAGAGTCTAGAGACTAGTAGGTGGAGTGGACAATGGACGACATTCAACTCACATACATCCTAATTTTGCATTTGGCAAATAAATACGTAGGAACCACGACGGAATGGGAGAATTTATTTAAATGGAGTAAGACCAGAGTGACACGTCAGCATCAAGCTCCACGTCATTGGTACGGTCCACTACTGCGCATTGAGGTGGAGGTAGCATCAGGGCTTCAGCCATGTCAGCAAGCAATCCGGGCATATCGAAAAGCGCATCCTCGTCCATGAAGAACACGTTTTCGGTGGTGGTCGTCACTTGTTCCTCTTGCCTACTACTGTTGCACTCTTCTTCTTCTTCTTCTTCAGCTTCTACAATAATAATCCGTTCGTTTTGGTTTGCTGCTGCCACCGGACGGAATGCCTCCGCCGCCTCCGCAGCAGCTTTCTGGATGTCCTTTGGGTCGGCGGACGCCGGGATGGGAAGTCTCCAAGCCGAGTCGGCGAAGTTGAGACAAGCGGAGCGGCCTCTGAGAGCGATGGCGGCCACGTCATGAGCTCTAGCCGCCATTTCAGCCGTGGGGAAAGTTCCCAGCCATATCCTGGACTTCTTGTTGGGCTCCCTCACCTCACACACCCACTTCCCGGAGTTCCTCCTCCTCACTCCCCGGTACACCGGGTGTCGAGTCTCCCGGAACTTCTTCCTCCCAGCGCGTTTCTTCGGATTATTAGAAGCCAACAGCACCTCTTCATCCGAGAAATTCGCTTTCATAGCAGCGCTGCTGCAACTTCCAGTATCAGAAGACGACAGCGGCGAAGACACTGCTCCACCCATTTCCGGCGACCAAAAACTCGACGCCGCAGCGACAGCACTTAGAAAATTCCCAGAATAATAATTCCCAACTATATCCATATCCATATATAGATCAATCTTGAGTGATGGAGACTAGTAGATCGAAGTAGTAGGTACTTAAACGACGGCGGTACTTAGTAAAGTAATCAATAGAGATGGAGTGTGTATGAACTAATTATCACACTAAAATGGGAGTTATATATATATATATATATATATGTATGGGGAGAGTACAGTGTTTAATTTGATAAGTGTAAGGTGATAAGCTTACGTTGGAGACGCTAAAAAAACACGGAGTGTTATAAGGAGACAGGCTGGAGGAAGGAACTGGGAATTGAAGTAAATAAGGAAAATATGATGGAAGTGAATAGCCAGCTGTACGTGGTGGGGTCATTCAAACTGCCAACTGGATTTGGGTCACGCTACTGAAAGAGACAACAATGAAAAGGTGTTGCATAGGTCGTAAGTTGTGTACCCGACACGTGTGCTTTCACTTCATGAATGGGGCCCGCCCCCTTCTTTACGGGGGATTCCAAGGACCTTCACTTGCTGAATATATCAAGTCAAAGGTCAGCTAACCCAACTGTACTGACTATCTTCCGTACTTTATATATTTCCATAACTACGAGTAAGATACTATGACTTTTCCGCCATGCACACACGTTACAGTATACTCAGTCCCTCTTCACTTCCACTGTACTATCAATTTTTTTTTTAAATTAATTTTAATTCCCTAGTTTGATATATGTAATAAAAATATTATTTTCTATAAATACCTTTTTATACTAATTAATACTCGCTATTTTTTTAATAAGATTAATTTAAGGATTATATTGTTCTATTGCAAGGCGTACTACTTTTTTACTTCCATCATCGATATTTGATGAAATTCTTGTTGCGAACTATATTTATTATTTGAAGATTAATTATTACGAACCAAGATAGATGATGGGATCGAAATACTTCAACAGTATGCTCTGATTCGCTCGATCTCAAATTCATAAAAAAATTGGATGTAAATAAATAAAAGGTAGACATTATTTCTTCATAATATAAATAATATTTCTTTTTATATCTTATACTCCGTATTAATTTTCTTTAAAATATAATCAACAATACATAGAGTACAGCAAACATATATAATAGTATAGAATAAGGATCATCGGAGATGGATATATGGAAGAAAGGACAGAATAAGGATTGTGGAGCGAGGTGAGGTGACAGTTAATTGGAGGATCGGAGATGGAGATGATAGACGCGGTTGACAGTTAGGCGAGATGTTAGTTTTACAACCGCCAACATTATTAGGAATGATGGATGATTGGTTGGAAGCAGTAAAACGCTGGTGGTTTTTCCACGGAAACGCGTGAGCCACATGCATGCCTAATGGCTTAATCCCATGCCCCGCCCAAATCTTGTCATGGAACCACCAAATCTTTACTCCTTTGTCCCTTTCATCACTTAGGTACCTACTACCACCTAGTACACCTGTACGGAAGCCTGGAGATTCACAAATCTCAGTATCACCTTGTCATATTGTACCAAATTTGTGACAATACTATATTACTTTTTCTAAAATCAATTATTACCCATATATATTGATGTGTTAGATATAAGGATATCTTTATCTGTGCAATACTCTTTCACTTTAAAAAATGTGTCTCACTTCCACATCATCAAATTTGTAATTTTTCTTCACTATTTTCTCTACATCCCTGGAATACTATATCACTTTTAAAAGTGGTCTCACTTTCATATTATAATAATAAAATAACTAATAAAAAAAAGTCAGGCGTAGCAACTTTGCTGCCAAATGACAGCAAAAGCTGTCATTAGCAAATTTGTTATTCACATATACATAAAATAAAAAATAAAAAAAAATTAGTCACATTATTTAGCAAGTGCTCCCTTGGCTGGGTTGAGGACAACCTAAGTGGTAATATTTGTTCTCAATTTAAACTCGATGTGATACGAAATTTGGAGACACATTTATGAGAAGTATATATGAAAGATTCCTGAGTCAATTTTTAGGAAAATGTTTTGCTTATTATTTTGAAGATTGTCTTTCTTATGTCATAGAAATCTAACTAGTAATTAGAATCCCCAATTCGAGGGATTTGATTTCCATATTTAGTCTGGATTCAAAACTGGTAGTCAGAGAAAGGGCATATAATGGACATGTTCTTCTTTATTCTCAAAGAAGATAACAACATTCTATTTTTTGAGTACTTTTTAAAGATATTTTGATTTTTTTTTTTTACTTTGTATGAGAAAAGACTAAGTGTGTGTGTATATAATATATATATATATATATATATATATATATATATATATATATATATATAGCTCTTTATATGGCCTGGTATGATTACTTGAACTTTTCCCTACCAGGCCACAGTAATTGGCCGGATTGGAAAAGAATGCCGGCACTTCAATTTTATATAATAATAGAAATTAAAATGCAATTTAATAGAAACAATTTCCTATTGGGAAAACAAATTAAAAGACAGCTAGGTAAAGGGAATCCTTGATACCTATGTTGAATTGTGAGAAATTTGCTGTTTTGGGGTTGGGATAATGAAACTACAAAAGCAGGTAAAAAAGTAGAAGGCAATAATGGATTGGTGTTTGTATTCCCAAAAGGAGACATGTTCATTACAGACCCAACTCATCGTTCATCCTATACATATAATTTAATATTTTTCAAAGCTAAGCTTGATTGCGAGGGTTGGATTAGTTTATACTACTATCTACTTTTGGTTAGGGAGGACCACATTTGCATATTTGGAATTCGCAAAACGCAGAGCAGAGGTACATTAGTACTGCATATACTAATTAACCACATATCTACATTAGATTTTGTCGCTCAAAGTGGTCAATTCCCACCACTTACAAATACCATTCAGAAATGGAATGTCCATTACATAAAGTCTCCTCGATCAACCCTAATCATGACTGATTATGCTCTAACAGAATGCAATCTAAATCATGCGACTGCAATTATGAATCCCATCCTTCATCATATATATTTATATGTCTAAATGTATTATTTATATTCCCTGGCCGCCCGGGCTGTCTGTTTTTATCAAACAAACATGGGTTGATTTTGTTTGTTTAATACAATTTAATATTGTTATGGTTAATTTTACTACTAACTGGTAGTTGACGGCAGACTAACATAATCATTCATGGATGAAGTAACAGAACGGTAAGATCAGAGACTTGTGTATAACTGCATTGAGTTTTATTGAAAGTTTAGATCCGTTTTTTATCCAGAGAAATGAATTCCTAAAATCAAGCTTATCAAAACTGGGCTAAACAATTCCTAAAACATGAATATGAAAGCAATTTAGAATAACTTAACAAGTTTCAAAATTTATATTTTGGCAAGAACTCATCAAAATCCCTAAATATAGAGACCTCCATACTCCATATATAATCCTCCGGGCTCTTCAGCCATTCACCTTAATCTGTTACAGTCGAGGACCAAGCAATTTCCAAAGTTGTGTATATTTAGTTGTTTACAAAATGTAAGAAAATCATTGAATATATCTCCATCACTAACCATCTTAGCAGTACAATATTTTTATATATGACATTATATAATTTACCTTTACAAGATATGCCAAGCTAAGGTGAAAAATTACATTTTTTATTTTTATTTTCACATTTCACTGCATTTGGGTGAAATTGTTAAAACTAAAGGAAAAGAAGGAATAAATTTTGTAGTGTATGTGACAATAGTTAGGAATAAATTTTTAAAATTGATAACTAAAATAGAAAGATAATCATAAAAATTAAGGAACTAAAAGTTCTCATTCATAGCATAGCTTTGAAGAACCCAAACTCGATCTCATATATATGATATGATATGATATGATGCTGGGCATTGCTGGCCTGGGCTACAACGTAACGTAACCTCATCAGCTCATACATACAAAATTAAAATTAAACACAATATAATATTAAATTGACTAAGCTGCTTCAAATCTGATCTTCCCATCATGACCATATTGATCTGAAGCAAAAACATGAAACAGCTTCACATCATATTTAATACTATACGATGTAGTGAAGCTATAAGTGGAAGGATACCTACATAAACTGAGCACATGCACTTATATATATAGATATAGATATGCAGCGGCTGGAAACAATCGAAACTAATCGATAAGCCTTGGCACTTAATTAGCTTATTTGGAATATTATATTATGATTAAGGGTAGCTCCAGAGAGTATCTGCAGCACAGTAGTCTGGTGAGTCGTCGTCACCATGTGGCGGCGACAAGGGCTTCATCCTCGGCGGGCTTACCATCATGCCTCCAGCCATGTCCACCATCAGGTTCGGCATGTCAAACAGCGCCTCCTCATCCACGAACTCTTCCTCCTCCTTCTTTGGCACTACTGTTGACGAAGCCCCGGCCGCCAGTTCACTGCTGCTACTGCCGCCATGGCCAGTACTTGACGGAGCTGCTGGTGCTCTAGAGGCGGCAGCTCTGGCAGCCGCAGCGGCGATATCCGCCGCAGCGTGAGAGCTGGGAACTGGGTAGGAGACAACGGAGTCGGGGAAGTTGAGCGGGGCATCAGGGCCTTTGAGCGCGAGAGCAGCGACGTCGTAGGCTGCAGCCGCCATTTCTGGAGTGAGGTAGGTGCCGAGCCATATCCGCGAGGTTTTCTTGGGCTCACGGATTTCAGACACCCATTTCCCGTTCCTCCACCTGATTCCCCGGTAAAGATGGTGCCTCCGCGGCGAACCACGGCCTCCAGAAGGTGAAGGCTGGTCTTGAAATGCAGTAGCAGTAGCAGTATGGTGGGATAATGGATCAGGAATTTGTAGAGAAGGGGTGGGGTTTGGGGGAACGTTAACGTTCTTGTTGTTGTAATAATTAAACGGATCAGCCATTGCATGCTTGAAGTGAGCATAATGTCCGGGGGCTTTAAAATGGTATGGTAAAAAAGAAAAGCACATACATACAGGACAAGACAGAGAGGAGGGGAAGGGGGAGAAAGCGTGGGGGGTTCGCCGGCTCTTACGTGGGCCTATAATAAAAACCACATAGTACATGTCTTTTTGTAGTATTTCCGTATTTGGCATGACTCTGCCCAGTGCCCACACGTAAATTGGCGTAAAGCTGCACATTAGCTGTCCTTTGATACTTTTCTTTCCTGTATAGTACTTAGTAGGTCCCTCCCCTCCCCTCTCCTCCGTCTTAATCACCTACCTAGCTACCTATTTAAATAATTGCTATGCATTTCACTCTAAATAACAAACTAACGCTTCAACTGTCTCAATCTTGAATGGTTGGACACGACGTGGATACTTAAAGACATGGTCCGCTTTATCATTCTATAAGTCTCCCTCAAACATAGTGAAAATAAAATAAGATATTAATTTATAATATGAAACACAAACAATTTACAGACTCAAAGAATGAAATTTTGATTCTAGTTTTAAGATATTAAAACATAAATAAATAAATGCAATCTAAACACTTTTTTTTTTTTTTTTAATTTTGATTTCCAACAAAATTGAGTGACAGGAGAATCAAACCTTTTAAAAGTTTGTGTATATTATACATGTATCTAGTCTAGCCATATATGTATAGTTGATGGATGAAACAGTCATAGTGCTAATTTGGTCACACCTTAATTGATATATCATTTGATCTGTGAAAGTAATGCATCATCATTATTGGACACTGAATTTGATTTGGTCAAGAGATGCATGGACGTTACTATACGTTGCTTTAATTTAATAATTTGTCATAAATTTAATGCCACACAGATATTTTTGGTGTACTGGATCGATCATGATGACTCCAATTCAAAGCCACACGTGAAAACCAAGCAACGTTGGCATCTTAGAATTCACAAGCAACGAGCCCACAGGCCACATCCACACACAACAGCCACTGGTTCTTGATGGTTAGAAATCACCACTGCACCTACTCTCAAAGACTTGTTCTTTCATCCCGCCCGCCCAGAATTATCTATCTGAATCTGAGGTCTGAACATGAAGCTGTTCCTTATTACTTCTTCTTCTTCTTCTTCTTCTTCTTCTTCTTCATTCTGGGTTTCCTTCAGAAATTTTAAAAAAAATCAATTCAAACCCCATCATCATCATGTCCCCAACCTGGCTCAATTCAGAACCAACAAGCTGTCCTGCGGCTGTGGAGTTTCGAGTTCAATAATAATATCCCCTCCACCGCCTGACTTCGACTTCAGAACCCAAATTCTGGGCGATTCTCGGGCCGCCATAGCTGAAACTCAACCTGAGTTGCTAGACTTGGCTGATAATGGAAGCTTGGTTGTGATCAGCAAGAGGCAGTATGGGGCGGTTCCACCTTGGCGCACTGAGTTTGTGGAGCCTGACACAATTTGGCTGATTGGAACAACACACACTTCTCAGGATTCCGCGGTTGATGTTGAGAGGGTTATTCGTGCTGTTAGGCCTGATAATGTTGTTGTGGAGCTCTGCAGAAGCAGGCAAGCTAGCTATATATATATCCAGTGTTTTCATTTAATTGCCTGCCTGTCAATTCGATCTTATAATTCATTTTGATGTCTGTTGAATTGAATGTTTTTTAAGAGCTGAGGGAATTAACTTGTTGTTGATTCAAACACACACACACACAGAGACTAATCTAATATAATATAATATAATGATTATTAATTAGGAAAAGGAAAGCAGCTGAGAATTATATTGAATGATATATATCTATATATGGCTTAACTTCACTTGTTGCAGAGTTGATTTTCAGAGCCGGGATCATGTACACTGGTGATGTTAATGAGCAGCCCTTGAAATCAAACATGTTTTCTATAAGTGGGAATGGGTTCTTTGGCACTGTTGGTCGTAGCATAAACTTGGGTATGTAAATTAAAGAATGTATGTATGTTCATTTTTAATTTGCTCTTATATATTGCTATTATTATGTTGCATTGATCTTCAAATTAAATTAAAGCAAAAAGTGTATGTGTGTCTATGCAGGGGGGCAGACTGCTCTAGCATTGCGTCTCTTGTTGGCATTTTTCTCCTCAAAACTCTCATCACATGTTAATCGTCCCTTTGGTGATGAGGTAAATTAAAATATATATACTCAATAAATTAAAACTGTATAAATGTAGGTGCTTAATTTAATATAATTAATTAATTAATTTGTGGATCTGAACCAAGCTAAGCATCTAATGGGCGGCAAGCTAAGTTTGATTGCATAATATAATGTATGTAGTTTCGTGCTGCTCGAAAGGTTTCTGAGGAAATTGGTGCTCAAATAGTATTGGGAGATCGACCCATAGAGATTACAGTATGTTCATTCCTGCAATGCACTCCCTATTTTTTAATTAATTACTTAATATAACTACTGTACATGCAATTAATTAATAATTGTTAGGTTTCTTGTGTTCGGTAATGGATCAGCTTGAACGTGCATGGAATTCATTGAAGTTGAAAGAGAAATTTGGATTGGTTTCCTCTGTTGTCCGTGGAATAACATCTTCATCCTCTGATCTCGACATCAAAACTCTGCAGGTTAATTACTATATATATATATATGTACTAGCTAATTAATTAATATAATAATTCTCTTTTCTTGCTTAATTAATTAGCTTCCTCCCCCCCAATGCATGGCAGGAGGAACGGAGCTCCAAGAACAACACCTTCCAGCTTTATGAGCAGTTAAGCTTCTCATATCCCTCACTCCTGCAGCCCCTCATACACGAGCGTGATACAGTAAGTATATTATTGTATTATATATTTTTAACAAATCACGTAAGTGGCTTTTATGGATCATCTCTAGAAAGCTTTGATACTAATTATTCGAATCAAACACTTACTACCACGTCAAAAGCTATAGCTAGTAATAATCAAATCACCTAATAATATAATTCCCCTTAGTACATTTGGGCCTTTACCGGCCTCCGCCCAATCATTTTTTTTTTTTTTTTTTTTGAATACCCGCCCAACCATCTTTAATAATATAGTATAATTGTTGTTACATATATATACACGCATGCATGCAGTATCTTGCTTGGTCCCTGAAGAGGAGCAAAGCAGTGAATGGGAGTAAGAAGGTGGTGGGAGTGATAGGCAATGGGCACATGAACGGGGTCATATATTCACTTATGTCTGACCAAGGCAACCTGCGCTTTCGCGACCTCGTTGGCCTCCGCACTGCACCCAACAACCAATACGCCTGGCTTAATACCATTTTCAACAACTTGTTCAGAGACACTGTAATTGCTATCATATTATGGTTCTTCTTTCACCACTTCAACCTTAAATTCTAGTTTTTTTTTTTCCGATCCCCTCAACAAATCTGATTGGATTCTGATTATATTTATATAATATAGAAGATTTATATATAATTGCGTTGGGAATTTATTATTATTTTAAATAAAAATAACATAACAAATCTGTGGATTAAATTTTCTGATTATCTGTGGGCGAAATCAAGGATCACCCAAATCTATGATCTGGTGCAGCCCCTCATCGAGCGGATGTGTTTTACGTAAATCGGATAATCTCTTCCTTAATATACGTCATATCTTTACTTACGGAAAAACAATTAATGTTATATATGATACTATTTTTGCTTGTTTACAAAAGATCGTGTGTCAAGATTTGATTTTCTTATTTTCCAAAGATTTTTATTTTAATTTATATACAAATTAAAACATGCACAATATATATGATACTCCGTATATAATTACATTTTGCATTTAACTTGTAATATTGTGGGCTCATTATTTTAATGATTTTGTGCGATACGTTGTGTAATTTTCATGATCGAATATAAATAAAATCTGTAAAATATTTAAACAATTTTGTACTAATCAAACATGTAAACTATACGTTTATATATGCGAATATATATTATGTGTTACTTATCATTTATTCATAATATATGTGTTTACGTGCGGTCATATATATTACTTATGTATATGTACAGTAGTGTATAGTGCATATACGGATATTTTATGCACCTTGCCATAGTAACTATCATTTTGTATTTTAAATATTTAATTAAAATATAATCTACAATCAAAATTAATTGTTATATGCTAATTTTAATAACATGATAATTAAAGAATAGGACAAATATATGATAATTGTTGGTGCATGTAATAATTGTTTTGTCTAACTAACAAAAATACAATAAGGATAATTTTGCCAAATAAAATGAAATGTACAATATATAAAGAAAATATATAAGCATACAAAAAAGGGGAAAAAATAATAGATATAACCTTGATTGATGATACATATTTTATACAGAGTATGTTTCTAGATAAGTAACATGTTTTAGTGATTTAGTTGGCATAATAAATCAAACTACTCCTATATTTTAAAGTGAGATTGTAAATTCTATACCATTCTTACCCCAAAAGGCTAAATCCTCAACCCTAAGGACCCCACACTCAGATCCGAAAGAGCATGTGGGAGGATGTAAATTCTATACCATTCTTGGTCATACAACTAATAACTTTCATTGTTTTTAGTTGTATAATGTAGTGCGTGCTAAGTGGGCGCAAACCCCGTGCGTGCAAGTCCAAATTAGATTCGTATAATATTTAATATAATTTCTCCTGATGATCAATTAGATCAGCATATATATATAACTAACCAAAAAGTGAAAAAAATAAAATAAAATAAAATATAGCGAATCCAAGTTTGTAAACAAAATATTTGATCGAATCCGCCATGCCCCACACGGATACAATACAAGCCGTTGACGACTCAACAAAACATGTATAAATACGAGGTGTGTTTCAATTTGTCATTTGCTTTGCTTGCATCTTCAATTCATTCCTCAGCTTCAATATAATAACCCCACCGAACCGTACCCCAGTCCCCAGACCAGATCAGTGATGGACTCCTCTGCTGCTAATGCCATGAAAATTTTGGTTGTGGACGACGATTCCACTTCCCTTGCCGTTGTTGCTGCTCTTCTCAGGAAATTGAACTTCCAAGGTTCATTTTATTTATTACTCTTCCTTTCACTCATCACTTGTTTCTTAAGATCTATATATGTATATGCATGCATGGATCCATCCTTAGCTTTTTTTGTTAATTATACACATATGCGACTTGCATCCATCGTCTTTCTTCTTTCTTCAATGGATATATACATTTTGTGCGTGTATGCCTTAGCTTGTAAAACATGTTTTGTGGGAGATCGACGCTTACAAATTAAATCAAATAGTAATTCATTTTAATTATTTATCAATAAAAAGTATGCTAATTATTAGATCCACGAGTTTTCAAAGAAAAAAAAAATACAAATTTTCAATTTTTCGATGGGAATCTTCAATCCCACCTAGTGTTGCAAAAATCACGCTTAGGCGCTAGGCGGTGGGAGGCCGCCGCGAGGAATGGCCTTGGCGGCCTCCTTCGCGGCCGGTTCGGGGATTTTTTTTTTTTTTTTTTTTTGTTGAAGATGTGAGAAAAGTTCCGGAAGGCATAACTTTTGATTCGGTTGTTTGATTTGAACAATTTTTTTTTTCAAATCACGTATTTTTTCAAGATCTATACTAATTTCTCAAAAAAAATGCTTCTTTAGCTCTTAATTTTAGTTTTTTTTTTAATATATTTAGATGGTTTAAACAATCTTTTGAACAATTTTACAACCACTTTCGTAAATAGTTTCTAAGAAATAACTATGGAAACCTTATGTTTTATTACTAAATTTTGAAAAATTTTAATTTTATTTTTAATTAAAAAAATAAAAAATAAAAATAAAAAATCGGCGCCTAAGTGCCCCCTTGACACCTAGGGGGCGCCTAACGTTTTTTGCAACATTGATCCCACTCCAATGTGAATGGAGATTCCGATTCAATGGGGATTCCGATTTTAGCCTATCAGAGACGGGAATACCACTCCATTATATATATATATATATAAAGTGAAGATCGATCAAAACCGTTCATCATGATTTATCAATGGTTGCGAGTTTTCAAAAAAAAAAACATAATGTTAATTTTATAAATATTCTAAACTTTTAAATTTTTAATATTTATAAAACTAACCTGACATTTTTTCCCATTATTTTCAGCAACCATCCGTAGTTGATCTACTTAAAATAGATGGATTAGAGTATTTCTAACTTTTTATGTGAGGGTATGTTCTCACTTAAATCCTTTCTCTCAGGCATGCGCGTGCGTGTGTAAAATCTACACAGAGATTTAATTTTTAATTTTTTGTATTTTAATATAAAAAATTGCATGTACTAATTTGACCATTTGATTATGGGGTAGACTGGAAATCAAAAAAATTTCAATTCCTATACGAGGTTGTGGTCAAGGAAATGGGGATGAAGATGGCCCCCGCCCCTTTCTTCTTCTTTTCTTGAATAAATTTGCTCTATAAAACATGTATGACTGGAGAGTGGAGATGACACTGTTAATTAAAATGTATGGTAGTTAAATGACTTTAATCTTTATCTCTTCTTAAATAGATTTGCTTTATAAAACATGTTTGGCATGCAGGGGATACCACTCATAAAAATTATATTTGATCTATTTGTAACTTATTTGAACTATTTATATATCATCATTTAAACGTGTATATATATGCTAATAAGATCCTTATTCCTATTTGACTGAATAAATTTGTTGTATGTATAACGCATGTTTAGCGTGCAAATCTACTAACAACTCATTTGAATTATTTACCATTAAAAAGCATGCTAGTTAAATCTTTATTTTTTTTTAGATAGATTTTATTTTATTTATGAAACATGTAGAAATCTATAAATAACTCATTTGAAACTTGTATGGTAAACCTTTTAAATTCTCTTGAAAGAATTTATTTACTTGTTATATTTAATGTAGTTAATTAGTGTCACGCTAGCTAGCTCTCATTCATTCCTATGCTATATATATATTGTTGAATTGGTTGAATGGAAGTAGAAAAATTATTGTTAGTTACGAAGCGAGTAATTAATTTATATTTTAAATTGTTAATAAAGTTGATTGGGGGATTTAATTAATGGGGTTGGGTGCAGTTGTGACAGTGAAAGACCCCAGGGAAGCACTGATTATTCTTGGTGGGGTGGAAGCAGCAGGTGGGTTTGATGTTGTTATTGCAGATGTGCACATGCCTGAGATGAATGGATTTGAATTGCAGCACCAAATCACCACTCACTTTCAACTGCCTGTTATTTGTGAGTAATTAGTTTTTATATACTTTAATATTTGGACTAGCTATATATGATGATGATGATGATGAAATATATATGTAAAAATAATGAATGTAAATGCATATATATATATGCAGTGATGTCTGTTGACGACAGAGACACCATGGTGGGGAGGGGAGTGGACTTTGGTGCTACTTTATTCATAAGTAAGCCGGTGTCGGTTAATGATGTCAGAAAGTATCTATGCCAAATTGCGGCGGCGGCTCCTAAGAAGGACGACCAAAATACCAATATTATTCCTCCTCTTCCTCCTACAGATGATCCTGCAGCTAACACAAATAATAATAATAATAATAATTATGAAATAACAAGAGAAGGAGAAGTAACATTCAAGACTAATAAGCTCACCGGAAAGAAAAAGCTTGTCTGGACAGCCAGACTTCACTATAAGTTCTTGGATGCTATCACATTAATTGGACTTAACAGTAAGTTGAATTGGATCTATATATGTATATATTGGTTAAAATTAAAGTTGTCTAATTTAATTTGTTTGTCGGCTTGGATCTTGAATTATTGGTTGTACGTGCTGCGTGCGTGCGTGTATGTGGGCGTAGATGCTGTTCCAAAGAAGATTCTAGAAGTCATGGATGTGCCCGGAATAACAAGAGAACACGTTGCCAGTCATTTGCAGGTAGCTTAATTAGCTTCAGCTCAGTTCGATCGCCTTATTAGCTGTTTAATTAATAATATATATTATATATGCAGAAATACCGAATGTTCTTGAAGCGGGTGACGGAGCTAACGGTGCCAAGCCAACGGAATAATGTTGATTGGGGGTTTGGCAGCGGGGTGAACTTGGGCCCAAGAATTGCTGCACCCAGAAGGTACGGGGGCATGCTTTCCCTAATTAATAATCTGCAGACATCATTAGGCGGCGGCGGGCGGTGGAATAATAATATCACGGCGGAGGAGCAGCCGCCTATACCTATGCCCCCAGCTGGGACCTTCTCATCATCATCATCATCGTCCTTTTTATTCTCCGGTCCTCCTCGCCTAGCCGCCGCTTCACCTCTTTGTAATCAACCCAGCTGGCGGCCTGGATATGGTACGGGTGGTCGTCAATCAAGCCTGCTGCTTTCGCCCCATCATCATCAGCAGCAGCAGCGTTTTAATTTTGGACTACAGTCGTCCCCGTCGTTGATACCTGCTAGAACCAATATGGTGAACCCAATTTATCAGCGAAGCTTCACATTGTTGCCCCCCCTGGTAATCCGTGGAAATATTAATGACGCTATAGCTGCAGCGTCACCGCCGGTGCCGGCACTGCAATTCCAAGGTGGAGGCGGCAGTAGTATGCTACAGCCTCCTCAAACATACAACAACATTAATAATAATAATGCTGCTGCTGAAACTACTAGGTATAGGAATATTGAAATAATGGTGAGGGGTGCAGCAGCAGCAGCAACGCGCCCCAATCAACTGAGCGGCCGCGTAGTTGAGGAGGTTCCTCCTAATCCTCTTGATTTTGGTTTTCTCTTCGATATCAATGATGATGATGTGTTCAAGTTCCTGTTGAGTGATTCAACGGAGAACCAAAGCGATGATGCATCTCAGAATAGCCGCCCAAATACTTGTACAGAAGGCGGAGGAAACCGGCCGCCGCCGTTGTTTGTTCCTGTTGACCATGACCCTACTGTTCAACCACAAACTGATCTGACGCCGCCGCCCTCACACCCACTTCATGATGATGCTATTGGAACCAATACTGCTACTGGAGGAGATGAAAATTCCAACTTGAGCAATAGTAGTGCTGTGACGACGACACAGTACTACGATGATCATGAGGATCTTCCAAGCCTTGATCAACTGCTTCTGGAGCCGCGTAACGATGAGGAATTATTCCTTCAATCCGTTTATGCTTCAATGCCCTCCGTGGGCGCCGCCCAACAACACCACACATCCAATAATTGAATTGCAGCATATATTATTGGGGATATGCTTGCTAGCAACTTTCGTATGTAAACGGCGTACAATTTCTTTCGACTTTTGAGGACGTGATCAGCAAATTTTATATATTCAACTCAAACTTTAATTTAATTTAAAACTCCATCTCATATTCTGATCTATATATTTCATGCATGTCATAATAAGATTATATTATTTATGTGATTGATGGATGATTTAATTTGCCCGCATTTTATAATTTATATAATGAAATATTTAGACATTGCTGGAAGGGAGAACTTTTGCCTACAATTAACTCAATATAATACCTAAAAGGCAATAACATCAATTGTGAGATGCATCCAAACAAATCTATTTTGAATCGCTGTACTAGCTAGCTAGCTTCTTACTATATCTATTGGCAACGACGTCTCCATTGTATTTCAAATCACGGCAATTTATGTTGTGCATCCGCAAAAAAAAAAAAAAAAACGCGCATTCCACTTAAAAAAAAAATTAATTTCGATTCCCAGCAACATCATTATGTTGTTCATTCATTCTAGATTTTTAGTTATGAAATTATGAATGTGTAATTATGCATGGCGTAGTTATGTAATTATGGATTTATAGTTATGAAGTTATAGATGTATAGTTATGCAATTCTGGATGTATAGTTATGAAGTTATGAATGTGTAGTTATGAAGTTATGGATATGAACTTCTATTTTATATTATTCTCAAACTCTACTGGATATGTAAACATTTTTTTAAATGAAAATAATCCATCTTTATTTGTCACATAGATAAATGTGAAAGAGTAACGTTTGTGAATAAATATAATATACGAGTAACTTATTATGTAAATGTGAAACATACAATATGAGTATATGAGTATTACTCGCCAACTAAAGATAGCATGCGGTCTAATGGCCAGTTATGGGGCGCAACAATTATACAGTGGACCATGGTTCAAAATGGCAGACACTATAGTGTATCTAAACTGACATTATCTCACATATTATTTTTATTATATTATATTATCAAATGAAACTGCAATTAAATTGAAATGAAACTGTAATTATATTGAAATGAAACTGCAATATATACAAAATTAAACTGAATAACAATTTCACATATTTGAATATATATTATCCAGTGAAATTACATTTATATCAAAATGATACTGTAGCTGTGTTGAAATGAAACTGCGGTGTATATATGATACATGGACCACAATACATTGTGGACCGCCCACGGTATAATTTGCCTTAGAATTAATTTCACTTTTGGTCCCACAACTTTTGAGTTCTTATCACTTTTGGTGCACAACTTTAAATTTTTTCAATTTTGGTGCCTAACTTTGTTATTTTTATCAGTTTAGGTCCTTCTAGCCAAATTGACGGTAAAATATTTCTAGATTTTATATTTTAGGGGCAAAATCGTCATCCCATGGAAAGATCTTCAATATTTAAACAAAAGAAAAATCAGATTAAGAGGAAAAGAAGAGTTTGCCAATGGTCGAAACTATAAATCCCATAGATATGTCTGGTTTCTGCCCATCTTCCCCATTATTCTCATCATCAAACACCTATAGATATGATTTTACGGTGATTTTGTTTAGATATTGAAGATGTTTCCTTGGGATGACGATTTTACCCCTAACAATATAAAATCCAACAACATTTAACTGTCAATTTGGCCGAAAGGACCAAAATTGATAAAAATAACAAAGTTAGGCACCAAAATTAAAAAATTTTAAAGTTGTGCACCAAAAGTGATAGAACATCAAAAGTCGTGGGACCAAAAGTGAAATTAATTCTTTGCCTTATGGGGCGTGTGTAATAATGAAATTTGTGTGGGGTTACATTGGTAATTATAGCGTAGGAATTACTCCATTCTTGCCAGCTTCCACACATACTCACAGGTGGGTTACCCACTTACCCATAGATATTTTTCATTCTCCGCCCCTCTTCTTTCTCAACTCGCTGCAATTAGGGTTCCGACTTTTTACGAGCTTGGCAAACTTCCCAGGTAAGGTATTTTCTCTTGTCCTTTCACCAGATCTGTTTGACTGCGCAAAGATCATAAGAAGCTGATGATTTGAATATCTTTTTTTATGGCATTACAGTTTTCCTATTTTATCATCCTTCTATGTAGACGTGACTTAAAGCAATCATACGGGGCTTTGTTGAACTCATGACTTGTGTTTTAATTTCGGCTCAGATAGATCTGATTGTGCTTTGACTCGATCTGTATATAGAGAATCGAATCGCGGCTTGTATTTTGTTTTTTCTTTTGGTTTTGCATTTTGATTTTCGGGTATATATCTGGAACAATACATTTTTTATGGTTTTAATTTGCGATTCTTGTCGAAGTTATGTTTACTTTTGGGACTATAGAATTCTTACGTTTTCTCAGCAGGTGAGATGAGGCCAGTTTTCTGTGGAAACTTTGAGTACGACACTAGGCAGAGTGACCTGGAGAGGCTCTTCAGAAAATATGGAAAGGTTGACAGGGTGGACATGAAGTCTGGTAAGCTTGATCTGTCTTGTTAATTTCTATTTTCCATGCAGTGTGTTAAGTCCGCATAATTAGTGCTCCGTAGTTTAGCATTGCAGTTATTTATATTGCTTTGCGTTGTTCATTGATGACTGATGAGAGTGGATTGAGCTTTAACTTTAAGCACACTGGCGCCTTTCATAGTATCAAATTACTGCATCTTTGAAAGATTTTATATGCAACTTGGTGGTTTTTGTTAGCTCAATGTAATAGTTCCATTTCTTTTCATTTACATGAAATGTTTTCCAAACATTGAATAATGCACCAATACATTTCCCCCCCAAAAAAATTTAGTAAATCATCTGCCAATGCTGCAATGGCATGTGTTCGCACTATGTGGTCCTTCTGTGAGTGCCAACTATGAAGGCTTCTACACCTCTGCTAGTGGAGGGCACCTTACTGCATCATTGCTTCTGATTTTTCTGGAATCCCTCTGGTACTTGTGGAGTCTGAGCTAAGTGTTGCCATTAGCAATAGGATGCTGGCAGCTCCCATAGCTCTAATATCAAAGGGCTTAATCAAGATAATCTAAAGCTCTTGAATGGAGGTGTTTTTACTTTTTACGCAAAAGGAAGTGCGAAATAAAGCTGAATTTACTCTCAACCTGTTTTGGCCAATCATGATGCAGTGTGGCTTTCAGTGTTCATTTTTTGGTAGGTAAGTTTTTTGAAGTATTTTCAGAAGTTCAGCAATGTGGTCAAAGACTCGAAAGGCTAGATCTGCCTGCAAGAGGCAGCTAAATTCCTACACAGTAGAGTATCTGCCCTCAATTCCAGATCTGCAACTTAACAACAGCAGTCTGTTGAGCTTTTCTGGGGTGTCAGGATATTCTTTAAAGGAAACCGTGTATTTTTTTAGTGTAAACCCCCATTCTCAACTGATTCTTTGGCGCAGGATTTGCAATGTCCATGCATTCATGGATGGTGGACGGATTCTGCATTTCATTTCCTGGATGTGACAAGCATACTCTTCTTGTATAGAAGAGCTCTATGATTCATCATGGCATCACCATCATACATTTCCCCCGTCATTAGTGCCCTCCATTCATCATCACTTTTACCCATCCTCATTGCCAGACTTGTTTCAATGCCGACCTCGAAGCTGAGGCAGCAGAATAAAATGGAGAAGGCACTCTCTTTACATTTTCTCACCATGAGACATCCACCTTTCGATTCTTGTTCCTTGACATCAATTAGTCCAATGTGCAAGGTCTGTTACTGATTTTACTGGTCTATAGTTTCTAGATTGCCAGTGGTCTTTTTTGTAATGGGATGATATGTTAGACGATTCCGACATCTGCTGGATGGACTTATTCGCCAATTGCAAAGGAGTCCTCTCATGGGAGGATTCTCAACTATTCTTTTCACATGAATTTTTACTCAATTTTTTTTTTTTTTTAATTTTCCTCTTTTGAATAGGTTTTGCTTTTGTGTACATGGAAGATGAAAGAGATGGCGATGATGCCATACGGGGACTTGATCGACTGGAATTTGGTAGGAAGGGGCGTAGGCTTCGTGTTGAGTGGTCAAAGGTAGTATGACTCTCTGTTGCAACATGTTGACTTGATCTCTTTTCATCCTACATAACTGGCCTTATGATTGTGCTGCAGGAAGAACGAGGCAGACGCCATGAGAGTTCCAGGAAATCTTCTGGTGGTGGTAGTACAAGGCTTTCAAAGACTTTGTTTGTCATCAACTTTGATCCCTACCATACTAGGACAAGGGACTTAGAGAGGCACTTTGAGCCATATGGTAAAATACTCAACATAAGGATCAGAAGGAATTTTGCATTCATTCAATATGAAATGCAAGAGGATGCCACCAAAGCATTGGATGCCACAAACTTGAGGTGCGTTCCTACATTTGTTTTTCTACTTAATTGTCATTTGAGGGTAACTTATTGAGTTGGTAACTTTTCCCCAAATATTATGTTTTCCTCGTGTAATTTCTCTGTTACTTATCTGCAGTTTATTTGTTTATATGCAGTAAATTGATGGATCGTGTCATTACGGTGGAATATGCTATCAAAGATGATGATGAGCGGAAAAGTGGATATAGTCCTGATAGAACTCGTGACAGGTCTCCTAGGCGGGGTTATGATCGTGGTCGGTCTCGAAGCCCTTGTGGGAGAGAGAGGGCCAGTCCTGACTATGGTCGTGGTCGAGGCCGTAGCCCCAGTCCATATCGTCGAGAAAGGCCCAGTCCTGTTTATGGTCGTAGCCCTAGTGGAAGTCCAAATCACAAGGGAAGGGATTCTGAACATGCCCGTGGGCGTAGTCCAAATGTTAGGAAGGAGAGGAATTCTGGTAATGGTAGTGCCCACAGCCTGAGTCCTCGACAGGAGAGTCCTGCTCCTGGCAATGGCCGTGCTAACGGTGAGCTCGAGGGGGGAAGTCCTGATTATGCTCGTGAACACAGCCGCAGTCCTCACAGAGAAAGGCAAGAGAAGTCCAGTCCTGATGGCTATCGTCATGGTGGCAGCCCAAATTTAAAGCATGAAGTTATGGATGGCCCTGAATATGGGGGAGAAAGTCCACCTGAAAGATACAGGAGGTTTGCACCTTACTCTAAGAAACATACTTAATGTAACAGCTGAGGCATTATACACTAAAATTTATGTTTTTTTTTTTTTTTTTTTTCTGGTAATGCAGTGGTTCAGCCTCATCGCGAGAGAGGTCTCGTTCCTGAATATGTTGCACAATTACCTGGTATTTGGAGCATTTTTCAGTTGGGCATGCCCTTGATGAAGTTGCTTTATTACAGGAATAGCCGAGTGTTCTGGTCAAGTGTAATGCCATTTCTAAGAACTGTTGTTGATCAAATCAACATTGTAGTAGTTTCTGCGGTCACATTTCAGATGTTCTTTCATATCATTTTATTCATGCTTCAACCAACAAACTGCATTTGATTGAATTGGTTATATATGTTTCTCCTTATTTTCTTTGCGTATACGCAAATTAGACAGTGCCATGGGATTTTGAGTGAAATTACAAAAGTGTAAAATTAAATACTCGTAGATGGAATAAAGTGAGTTTAAAATCATTGTAGTAGGCTGATGGAACTATTATGTCGTTGTTGAAGACACGTATACAAAGTTTCTCGGAAAGGAAATGAGACTATAATCATGTTTTTAGCCTCCAATTGCTTGACTTTAATTAATTTCTTGCTTATAAAATGGCTTTTGTGATGTATTTCAAATGTTGCATTATTTGTGGTCGGCACGGTTGATTGGCTATAAGCTATGGTCAGTAGTTGAATTTGATTTGTTGATGGTCATTAATATTGCTTTTAATGGTCTGTTTTGTCTTCTTGGATTAATATTAATTTTGAGTTTGCTCTTTGGGCTTATCAATGGGTCTTCTTTCATTCTCTCAATATACATATCTCCGTCCTTAACATCATCAATTACTTGTTTGTAGCTTAATTAGCCTTGCGTCACTATTACTAGGTAATTTTATGACAATAGTCAACATTGTTATGAATGTTATTGAAAATAAAAACTCTTCAACTTTTTTAATTGAAAAAAAATGTCTATAGATCATATAGAAATATTTAATTGGTAATAATCGGTTTATTTATTTCACATTTGACTATAATATTTATTTGAAAATGAATAGGTAGTGATCACTTTTGATTCCAAGGATTATTCATGGGCGGGTTTGACAAGCTAAGCTATTTTTACCATCTTCTGATAATCTGATCTATCTACTTACGCGTTCAATTAGTTTTAGTGGAAGACCTGCGCAAACCTTAATCCTCTCTTCACAACTGTGCTGTTGCAAGCCTAGCTTAATCGTTCACATTGTTAATATGATGAGACCATGATATGATGCTGCGCGTCCAAATTCATTTCACTAACCCATTCTCCATAGAATTAAAACAACTAATATAAAAAAAATTGTGAATGATTCAAATATGATTTTTTTTTTTTTTTAAAAGAAGAAACTTATTAAAGAAAATTTCGAATTCAATCTTATAAATGAATTGAGCAATATATGTATTAAGAGATTTCATCCTCAAAATTCAAAAAGTGGATGATAGCAGTCTGACTCTAAATTAGTGAAAGTTGAACGTAACTAGTTTTTGGGGTGTTTTGTAAATAGCTGTTAGCTGATTGAGTTAATTGATTTGACTAGTAGCTGATTGTAAAAATATGTTTGGTAAATGAACTGTTAGCTGATTATATGCAAAATGACTTTATCAAAAAATTGATCAAAATTTTTGAATTTTAAATTTTTGGAGCAATAAGCTATTACAAAAAGTTAATTAATCAAATACTTATATTGATTGTTTCACAAAGTCAAACTACTAATAATAGTCAAATAAGTCAAAATTGACTGATAAGCTAACTATGTTACCAAACAAGGCTATAATGTATAATACATACCAAACAAAAATTATTACATAAACATATAATGCAACGAGCGAGAATAGACTATTTATTTTTTCTTTTATTTTATATGATGGAGAAAATTGTAATCACACACGTGTAATAAAATTTAATTTTAGTTGCTATGTATTGTAGTGTTTATGAAAAACAATTAAATATTTTGGAAACACGGTGAATGTTATTATCATCTTAATGACTATTATTTATTTATTAATTAAAAAATATGGTTGCTTTTAAAGAAGGCAACGTAAAGATGATAGTATGTAGGAAATGATGCACATATGTGTATAGTGGAGATAGCAAAAATGCAATTGAGAGTGCGGCGTTCGAAAAAAACGGCCGGGGACTTTTGACAAATTTGACGCGGTCGCCATTCAATTCCCTTCCGTTCCTTCCCGATAATGACGACGACAGCTATTGCAAAATTTCAAAATAAAACATGATCGATGGGATCCCCTATCGTAGTTATAAATTTTAATTTCTTTCTTTTCCTTAGGCCTTAGCTTGAAGATATTTAATAATCAAAACTCCCAAAAACTTCTTGCTCTAATTAAAGCAGAGATATGATGATGAGGCTTTCTTTTTACTTGAAGCTAGTGACGTGACGTTGCCAAGGTGACCGCCAAGTGTATAAATTTGACTTTATAAGGAAATTCCATGATTCAAATCTTGACTTCACTTCATGAATTACATGAAATGAAAACACCCCGGCCTATTTTTGACGCTGTCAAAACGATTCGGAGAAGTTATTTAACCACTTTGTTTGGAATGTTCTTTTTTTTTTTTTTTTTTTTTTTTTTTTTAAATTTAAATACAACATAATATATATTGAAAATAAGTAAGTTCGAGAATATATCTTTTTATCATTGTTATTATTTTTTGGTAATGATCAAGTAAAAGAAAAAAACAATAAGAAACAAAGAGTTTACTTTTCGTTCTGGTGATACTGAACCTTCAATTGAATTTTTATTTTATTTTTACATTAAGATATGATCAAAATAATAAATAAGAGATCATCTTTAATGAAACTTGTATTTATGCTCTTTTGTTTTGCATTTACATTATTTTGTTCTGGTATATAGTTAAAACCATTTAAAACTCTAAAATTAGATTCATTAAAGAGTGATTTTATTTCCTTTTCTTTGGTGCCGAAAATAATCAAAGTACAACACCTATATCAATAGAACCATTCAATTAATTAAGTTCGCACAGACTTAACTCAATGATTGAGTATGTAGTATTTGAGAGAAGATGTTAAAGTTCGAGACTCTTGGAATTGGGTATAACCTTTTGGGGAAGATCAGAACCATTCAATTAAAGATACGTTTATTCAATTCCTTTGAACAAGTACCAAAGTATACAAATAACTATCTTTAACATGTTCACAAGTCTTTGAATTCTAAAAAAGTCAAGCTAAGGAAGCACCTAAAATAATAGGCCAAAAAAAAAAAAAAAAAAAGAGGTGGAACTAACCAAATTAGTCATTTAAGTTAGCAATCAATAAACGAAATGCCGAGTTCATTGGCATTAAGTTAACTTGTATGTGTACTTTAGGAATTTGGTGATGATATGCTATTAAAAATTAAATAAAAAAATAAAAAATATTGAAAATTGTTGGACGAAGACAACCATGCCCAATTATCTCAATCTATTGAGAAAAAAAAATCTAATATGTCTGCATGGACAACTTAACTAGTCGCAGAGGTGAAATTTGTCACAAGAAATCAAAGATCGAGTCTCACTAACAATAATGTGAGAGTAGCTTCTCAAAATGAGTGTGTCTCCTTGTGTGACCCCTCCACAAACTGTCGGTGAGTCACTGTGATTGGGTCGGAGTATGGGGCGTCTGGGATGGGCGATTCCACTTATCAGAAAAAGAAACATAATAACATAGAAACATAGTTCACCAACGGCAGTGTGGGAGCTACCTCTCAAACTGAGGGGGGCTCCTTGTGCGTAGTAAGCAAATGTCTAGCCTCTGCGGTTTATGTTCAGTTGAGTTACCATGATTTGGATCTCCCAAATGCTTTGTCAAGTCGGGGTGTGAGGGGCCCTTAGGGTTGGAGTTCAACATTTTGGAAGAAAAAAAACATAGTACCCGCACGGGTTTAGCTCAATGGTTTAGTGTGCAATATTTGGTAGAAGAAAAAGAAACATAGTAATTAAAATTATGCCAAACGAAGATAACAACATATTGACTTAATTCAAATAGAGACCACCATTGACCATTATACCATCTATGTAGTATTAAAAAGTTTTCAGGGAAAACTGAAAAAGAAAAAAACTGGATTAACTGTTTTAAGTTAGTTGATGAAAGAGTAAAGGATATTTTAGTGTCCACTCAAGATTCCAACTAATAATAGTATGTATGACTACTTCCGTTTACTTAATTGGAACTATATATCTAGTTTCAAATTAATTAAAGTCTAACCCTGTATGTAGTCTTGAGTCTTGACATGCTCGCTATAAATAGCCCCCACCATTTCTTTTCTTTCATTCATTCATGACACTAACTGTACTACTTTTTTTTTTTTGAATGCAACTGTACTACTTCATTATATTATATTGTACGTTCTGATCTGCCCATCCATCCAATTATACTAGAATTGAAGCTAAGAATGTGTAAGCCAAAGTGTTCATCAGCCTGCAAATTTAACAGCACGACAACCTCAACAGATGTTGTCGGGGACATGCCGCAATTCCCGTCGTCGTCTTCGCTCAAAATTATCCCAGAATTAGATGAGGCACACTACATGCTCTCTCCGCTGGTCCCCGACATCCCAGCAGCATATGATGCGCCCCACAACAGTAGCGCTGCCGCCTTTGTTGTCCTCAGAGAAGTGGAGTCCATTGCCAAAATTGCCCTCCCCACCATCTTCACCGCCCTCCTCCTTTACTCGCGTTCCATCATCTCCATGCTCTTTCTCAGCCGCCTTGGTGACCTAGCCCTCGCCGGCGGATCCCTAGCTCTCGGCTTTGCTAACATCACCGGATATTCCATCCTTTCTGGTTTAGCCATGGGAATGGAACCCATCTGCGCCCAATCTTTTGGTGCCAAGAGATATAATCTCCTTGGTTTAACCTTACAAAGGGCCATTCTTTTGCTCTTTCTCACTTCACTTCCGATAGCTCTTCTTTGGGCTAACATTAAACCAATTCTCCTCTTCTGTGGTCAAGACCAATCCATTGCCACACAAGCCCAATCTTATCTTCTATACTCCATTCCTGACCTTTTCATGCAATCTTTACTTCATCCATTGCGCATTTATCTCCGAACCCAATCCATAACTTTACCTCTAACCTTTTGCGCCGTTTTCTCTATTCTTCTTCACCTGCCCATCAATTATTTTCTGGTTACAAAACTTAGTTTGGGCGTCAAAGGAGTTGCTCTTAGCGGGGTATGGACCAACTTCAATCTTGTAGCTTCATTGATCTTATATATACTTATCTCTGGTGTATACACCAAGACCTGGTCTTGGGAAGCAGGAAGCAGATTATTGTCCACACAGTGCCTCAAAGGGGCAGGATGGAAATGTTTACTGAAGTTAGCCATTCCGAGCTGCATTTCCGTGTGCCTAGAATGGTGGTGGTATGAGATCATGATTTTACTGTGCGGCCTGTTATACAACCCCAGAGCCACCGTTGCTTCCATGGGGATTCTCATTCAAACCACTTCTTTAATTTACATTTTCCCGTCTTCCCTTAGCTTCAGCGTGTCCACCAGAGTGGGGAATGAGCTGGGCGCAAGACAGCCAAGAAAGGCCAAGCTGGCCGCCATTGTGGGGGTTTCGGGAAGTTTCATACTGGGTTTTGTGGCTCTGTGTTTTGCTGTGTCAGTAAGGAACGTATGGGCGAGAATGTTCACGGAGGATAAGGAGATTGTAGGGTTGACGTCTGGGGTTTTGCCGATAATTGGGCTGTGCGAGCTGGGGAACTGCCCGCAAACAACGGGGTGCGGGGTGTTAAGAGGAACAGCTAGGCCTAAAGTGGGAGCAAATATTAATCTGGGGTGCTTCTATCTGGTGGGAATGCCGGTGGCCGTGTGGCTCAGCTTCTACGGCGGTTTTGATTTCCAGGGGCTGTGGGTGGGGCTGTTGGCGGCCCAGGCATCATGCATGCTAACCATGCTTGTGGTCTTGCTTCGAACAGATTGGGAGTTTGAAGCCAAGAGATCCGTAGATCAGACTACTACTGGAGCAGCAGTAGTAGTCATTTGGAATAATAATATTGGTGATGGTGATGAGAGTGAAGAAGAAGCACCGGCATTTGATGAAGAAGAAGATGATGATGATCAAAATGTCAAACCGGAAAACAAGCTGCAGGATGATTATATTCTTTAATTTGTGTATGTTAATTAATTGAATTATTGCATGCGTCCAAGAGGAAGATGATCATATTCATATCCACTTTAATTTTGAACTTCGATCACATTATATCATATCATATCGGAGAAAGGATTGGATATGCTTGCTAGGAATATCCACTATTTAATTTTCACGGCCGCCCTACCTATAATATTTGATATTGTAAGTTTGTAACATAACATTAATGATCAAGATCAACTATACTCTCTGTAAAAAAAAAAAAATTATTTATCTTTTTTTTTTAAAAAAAAATAAGTTTGTAATTTTTTTTTGTCATTAAAAAAAAAATACAAACTTATTTAAAAAAAAAAAAAATATATATATATATATATATATATATATATATATATATATATAATTTTTCAAAAATTAAATGAAGGGGTGATAGCCAAACACCTTGTGCTCAAATGACATGTAGTGACCTCTCCCATGTGGGAGGTCGTGAATAGATACTATAATGTGTAGGGGTGATCTAACGAATAAAGATAGTCCCTAGCGGGTAACAATAGTAAAATTTCATTCATTTAATAAGGGGAGATACACAATTATATATTTGCATGAACCAAAGCTCATTACATAAGTTTTTATGATTAACATAAATTTCTGTTAATTTTTTTTATGATTAACATAAATGTTCAAGAATTAAATAAAAGAAATTCCGGCCTGTCTCTATAAATGAAAACTTGAAGAAATATTTCAACAAACATATCATTCAATCACACAGTAAAATGTAATATGCATATATTAAACAATGTCTAAGCCAAACTATGATGTAGCTTTAAAAAAAAAAAAAAATACTTGCATACTCAAGAATATTTTTCACATAAATGAACTTTATCCAGCCCTAACTCATCCGAAAAGGTGGGATCCCTTTAAGGTTCCCAAGAATCAAGCTTGAATATTCAGTATCTAGCTAGCTAGCTAGCTAATCAGACTTTTTTTTTTTGAGAAAAGCTAGTCAGACTTAGATGATGTGAATAATATATACAAGTAACTGCACTATTTCTCATCCAATCTATTTTAATTTCCAGGAATCTTGTTTTAAAATATTCATCTTATCACATGTTTTAGAATATTCTTTATTTATTTTTTTAAACTTAGGTGATCATAATTTTGTCAAACTAATGCATGCTAAGTCCACACGATCCTTTCTAGAACCATTGTGGAGGTAGATCACGAGTCACACAATCAATCAGATCCTAGTTTGTCGTCATGTGCACACAAGGAATCCAATCCAAACCTTAATCCTTGTGCCTTTTTTTTTTTCATACATATTTCTAATGCATTTAAGTTAGGTGACGAACCAAGTACCCAAGCTGTATGAATATTCTTTTTTTTTTTTTGGATTGTGGAGGTAAACCCCACCCCTGACTTTCGTGAGTATGTGGGTAAACCCTCACCCTGCGACCCTAGCCAACAAAGGGCCACAAGGTGGTAAACCAGCCTAGGTTTCCCATAGCTGACCGGCTCAAACTCGTCATGGCGGAGGATTGAACCCAGGACCTCTCGGTCAAGGGCGCTACCTCCTTACCACTTGAGCTGGGGTTGCCCCCTTATAAGACGTTGTTGATCAAGTTTGGAAGGGGTTGAATAGTAATCTGGCTATATATTAATTGTTTTTTAGTCATTATATTAATGCTTTTAATTTGTGTCCCTTCGGTTCTCACCATCCATGTATGTATGTACCCAGCCTTTGCTAACAATGAGTCGCTCCATCAATTTTATTTAATAGATCACAAGATTCGCAACCAATTGACTACAGATAATTGAATCAAATCAAATATATTTTTAACTTCAGAGAAACTAAAATTGACTAATTTAAAGTATGTGTTGGATAATAATATATTAATTAGATTCCAAGTTTGATTGAAGAATAATATATATACTTATAGGTGTTAGATAATATGAGAATAAGTTGTTAGGAGAAACAAGTGAAATGCATGTTAAAGATAGAATAGAAGAAGGTATGAAAGTGGATTAATATTGGCACGTATAATAGTATCTAGAATTGAATAATGGCAACAACTAACTAACGTACAGGGCGGACTGGCGGCAGATAGCTTAGCTTCCTCCTAAGCAGACAATTAAGTACGGGGGGACGTTACGTTCCGTCGATGTTTAATTGGGTCGCCGCCGTACCACCAAACCCTAAATATAATTCTTGGATTCCCGGGTAATGGGTGGCCGCCGGTCACCGCATACATCAACTTTTCTATCCACTGTCCAACTTAAAGCTAGCTAAGCGCCACCACAAATATAATGCTCAACCCCCATAAATGTTGGGAGAGAGAATACCCATATACATACATACATACATACCTATATAGTTTGTTTGCGGTGTCTTTTTAATTTGAATCAATAATATATATCATATCAATTATATATATATATATATATATATATATATAATTACCTACCTAAACCTCTCCTTAACTATACTATCTATTACAACAACATAAAATATATACAGGTTTTTAATTAATAGATATAGATCACTGAGAGGCCGGATGTATATATATATACATATATGTTTATGTATGTGGAACCGAAAAATGGAGCGTGGGGGACAACACATTTTGATACTAAGCTAGTGTACGTACGTACAACTAATTAAGAGACAAGAACAGCTAGCTAGGTTGGTCCAATTATACGTGCGGATCGGACTTGGACTACAGTTTTGATAGATGATATAAGTATGGAGATTGTGCAGATCAACTTTGATAGATGATGTTTTACTTTCTATTTTTTTTTCTTGGTTTTCTTTTCTTTGAAGGGACGACCGAAGAAAGCATATATATATACTTTAAAAGTGTAGCGGGTATTCTGATCTTATCCTAATCTTTTGGGTCTCCACTACTTATATACTTTGATCACTGTGTTTCTTTGTTCCTAACTAAATGCAGATATGTAGGGTCTGATCTGTATTTATTCATCCATTTACAAGTGAATATAATTACACCAAAGTCCAAAATGGGGTGGCCGGGTTGGATGAAGTCAAACATAAATCATGTCCAATATTGATGGATTCGCATGTTAATAAGAATGAATTTTATATGTACGCTGAGACAAAGCAATATATGGTAGCCTATCATTCATAGCACACAATTTAAGATTAGGCATACATATCATCAGGCCGCAGGCCCACTTATTCCAACTTTCGGAGGCCCATGTAAACATTTAAAATGTCATTATTAAAAATTACTCTGTATGTAACAAAAGTATTATATTTGGTAATGTTATTCGTTAATAAAGTGTTTTTGGTGGTTTGATATGTTGTAACATGTAATTTAACAAGTCTGTGCAAAATAATGAGTGCAATAAGTAAATCGAAGCAGTTTGAAAAAATTATTTTACTTTTAAGAGATAGACATGCATGATAATTATGGAGTTTATATTTAAGTGGTTGACCTATGAATAAAAAAAACCACCTATGTGGTAAAAAAAAAAAAAAAAGTCTTCAAAGTTGATTCCACGTAAGAATGAAGAATAGAAGTCAAATTCTTAAAGTGATAAGTAAATTGTCCAATTATACTGTGTCCAACTGCCTCACCCGTGTTTCTATCATTTAATTTGGATGGATTAATTGTTTGATTACCCATTTTAAGAAAAGGAGAACTTCTTCATGTTCTATCCATCATTTTGTACCCAAACTAGCAAACAACCATTACAAATATAATCAATCTCTTTGTTGTTGTTGTTGTTGTTAAAAAAAAATCTAACAACACAATGTAAGATGTACAAATGTACAATACAAATCAAGAAGTAATAAAAGGTAAGATGGGTAGCAAAGTCAAAATATGAGATGCCAAGATAACAAAGAACAAATATATATAATCCAATGTGTGGATCATAATAATCCTGCCTATAAGTTTCAAAAATAAAATAAAATAATCCGGCCTGCCTATATATAATGTTGTTGTAGCCGAATTATATATATATATATATATATATATATTATTTGAGTGAATGACAGACATCTAATTAAAGGGATAGAGGAGTGATAGACCCTAACAAATTAAAAAACTCTAAATACACAAAATTAAAGAATGGAGACTAGGTACTAGTAGACACCACCAAGCCCATCCAACATATATATATGAGAAAGCGAGAGACATATGCAATGGCAATGACAAACATATATTCCTGAATTGTAGGTCTCAGATCAATCAAAGCAAGTTCCAAGTGAATCCTGGATGTGCTGTGTTGTTTGATGTAGTTGTGGGTGTTGAAACTGGGACAAGCTGTGCTGCCCCCGGAGCCGAAGAAGAATCAAATGTTTCCCACTGTGTACTTATCACAAAAGGCCCCGAGGACGAGGCCGAGTGCCTCCCCATCCCCGGTGCCTGTTGTCCAGTTTCTGAAGCTGAGCTCCCAAGTGAATGCCTGCCTTGCTGCTGCTGTTGAATCCGTGATGAAATTTGGTTGTCTGAATAGCCATATTGATGGGGTGGAGATGAAGCATTCTGTTTAGGAGTGTGATTCCCATTACTAGTCAGCCTTGAGTTGTTGATTTTCAGCACATCAAGAGTTTCTACATACTTTTGAACTCTTTTTACCTAAAACATATATATAAATCAAATGCTGCTGCAACTTTCTCAATCAATCCATCCTAAACCAAATAAATTAAAAGTACGTACCTGCATTTTCCTCTGCAATTTGACATCACCTTCAGCAACAATACCATCCAGTTTAAGGAGTTGATTCATCAAGAGCTCGATCAAATTTATTAGTGTCTTTTCCTCAACTTTCCCACCTCTTGAGATTACAGATTCTAACGCAGAAACCTGTTATTTAATCCAGATCAGAAGATCGAAGAAATCACTAATCTAGCTAATTTCAAGTTTCCAATATCTTGGAATCCAAAAACTGAATCTCGGAATTAAAGAAATAAATTACCTGGCCACCAAGCCTATCAACCTCCAAGCTGATCTCTGATACAGATTTTGCAGCCTTCTCCATCTTCGCATTCTTTCTCATCTCTAGATACCTCTTCTCTTGGCTGATTGGGTCTTCAACCAGCACAACCTTAGACTTATCTTTCACGCCGCAAACATCAAGAAATGCATTAGAATCCCTCTCCTTATCTTTGAACAACAATTTCTGATCTTGATGGTGCAACCCTGTTGGCCCTGTTAACATTTTCTTCAGCTCCCCTGCAAATTCAATACTTCTTCCCCTTTCATCACTCAGAAAACAAAATTACAAAAAACCAAGAAAATAATTTTGGGTAGTTAAGTTACCGAAGGTAGCTTGAGAGTTGATATTGATTTCATGGTAGATTGACCCATATTTGACCCGTACACGAATAGTGGGAGGAGGAGGAGGATGGTTATGTGAATCAGGATTTCGTTTCTGGACCAGCATTCCGCAAGGTCTCATCTCCCAATCATTGTCGCCGGCGGCGGCAACACGAGAGCCTCCGTTCGTCATTTGCGACGGAGGGCGAACGGTGGTGGTGGGTTTAGTCTTCATTCGCATCATGTTGCTGAGGTATCTGTGATTCAAATGCTGCTGACGTTGAAAACAGCAAGCTAAACTCAGATCAGATAATTGACCTCTTGCTCGAATCCGACAAACCCGAAGCTAAATCCGAAAACTCAGCGAGTACAAACGACTACGAAAGTGCTATAGGCACACTAGTTTCTCTGTCCTTTTTCTCTATTTTGCACGCTACAGAGATTGAGAAACAGAAGATTACTTTCAAAGTTTCCACCTTTAGCAGCAGTACTAGACTATATTAAGGTAAGAATGACTATAAAAGAGGAAAAGAATCTTAACCCAAAAAAAAAAAAAAAATCAATCTTGAATCCTAGATAATATCGGCGGGAACTGAAAGTGTCGGTGGCCACAAAAATTGCCGTAGGGAAAAAGAAAAACTTTGAAACGAAGGATTGGGGATTTTAGATCTTCATCGCAGACCCGAAATGCAGAGAAATAAACTGAAATCGGTGATGAAAACGTTACTAAACGCTGGGAGGGAAAATTTTCAGAGGAATTTAATGTTAACACAGAAAAATAAGGAAAGAAAAGTGTTTAAAAGGAAAAATAAAAAAAAATAAAAAGCTGTCACTCTCTTTCTCCCTGTTTGGTTGGTTGTTCTTCTGGAGAAATGTCGAAGGAGGAAGGAGACAACCAGATAAAAAATATATATATAAAGAAATGAGTGGACAGCGCAGAAGCACAGAACTGAAATGAAATTATACAACAACTCTTAGCTAGCTTGCATACATTTATACAAAAATTAAACTGAGAAAAATGCTTCTCAACAAATTAAAAAAATAAAAAATAAAAAATGGTGATGATCGAAGAATAATGCCTTACTAAAATAGGAGTAAAGCAAGAAAGGCTGCTTGTGCTTAAAGGTTAAAAAAAAATAGAAGTGAAGGAAATGTAAAAGCGAGAATGAGAGAGAAGATGAAAACTACGACTTTCCACCAATAGTGTGAGAGTGAAGAAAAATTGCTCACACATCCTTATCTAAGCTGACATGTGTCCGGGGGTTTTTAGGTATTTCGATTGGGCTGGGCAGGCAATGATTATGATGTTGATTATGGTCCTAATCTACGATGTGGAACAATACAATACTAGGACATTTAGTACTTATTTAGTATTTTAGATTTAGATTAGAAAATAAAATTGAAGCTAAGAGCATCCACATCAGTTGGGGAGAATTGGGGATAACGTAAGAGTGATTAGGAAAGAGAGTGTGGGAGGGGAGAGAAAAAAAAAAAAAAAAAACCAAAAACTGAAATTTTTAAAATAAAAAAGCAATGTAAACAGACGCGTCAGGCGCGCCTGACGCATCTCCGAGCACGTGCAACGCACGCGCCCGGCTTTCTCTCCATTTTGCGCGAAACGCGCTAAAGCGCGCTTATTTTTTTTTTTTTTCTTTCTTTTTTCTGTCATTATCTTGGCATTTGCAGAATGATTATTTTTGATATTATCTTTGCTTCCCATCAGTTGAAGTGCATATTACTGTACTATTATCTCCCTATTATACATTACTGTGGATGCTCTAAGAAGAAGAAGAATGAAGGCAAGTTGGTGAATCATCTCTTTCTCTGGGCCGCCCAGTCGTTCATGTCACAGCTTTCCACTTTAATTGCCACCAACTCTCGCCCCAAACCTAATCGACATTTATACTTTCTTCTTTCCTTACTTTTTCATCTTCTTTCATAATCAACACCAAGTACACTACTTTTTGTTCCAACTACATAAAACTCATCAACATATATTAACTTTCGCTAATTAAATTGATATCTATAAAATAAAATGGAGATAATGTATTATATTACAAAAAATATAAATTTTGAACGAAATTTGAGTCACTGATATACTAATATAATTTCGTCATACATATATATTGCATAAAAATAATATAATTGTTCCTCCCAAAAAACTGGTGTTGTACAAATTATATATTGCGTCTTTTCACCTTTCCAACCTAGAAAGCCATGCTAATTGCCACCGACAGTTTAGGAGGGGCACATGAGTACAGAGCAGAGGATGCGAACACGTGGCAGTTCTTCAACCGTCCATGAATTGGTGTGATTAACAAAACCCAAACGAGGGTCGGTTGTCGTCGGTTTGCTAATTGCTATGCAGCTATGCTGTCTATTCCGCGTTTGACCAATTCTTTTATCATTAAAAATGGATTGTTTTACCGTTCTTCTTTAGCATATAGTTATTTTGGGTAAGTATATATTACTTTATTATAAGAAAAAGAAAAATCAGTGTACCGACACGCGAATATTATAAATGGAAAATTGTTAAACCACTGTCTAGCTTGTGGTTTCATCTAATTCCGTGGGACTAAACTTGGATAATTACGTACTAATCCACCACGATGGGCAAATTATACCAGTGAACCAAGGTAATGCTATAAAATGATATTGTATTTGCGATTAATATATTATCTACATACACTTCATAGATTATATGGTTGTAAATAAATTAAAAATAAATAATATTTTAATTAAGCACATTATATGTTAATTACAAAAACATAAATGAATATGATATTAATATATTATGTGTTTGTATATAATGTATTATGTGTAAATAATTAACAAATTAAGTGTTTTCAATTTGCAAAGATAAATTTATTAATTAAAGACACATAATATGTTAGTTATAGGTACATAATTTTTTGATCATTATTCACAATGTAAAATAAATCTTGGTCCATGGTATAACAATTGACTGCGATGCTGCCCTTCCTTGTCCACGATTTGCTTATTTTATTTTATATTTTCATGACATGTGTAGTTTAGAAAAATATATTTTTTGAAGAACTTTTTTTTTTATTAAATTTAGCTTGAGGAAAAATATATTTTAACATTGTTTATTAGTTGATGAAGAATTTATTATAATAGAAAATGAATTGCTTGTTTTTTTTTTTCAGCATGAAATGTTTTATTTATTTATTTTTTCAAACGTATGATAAAAATTTTTAACATATATATGCATATAGAAAATGAGACAGATCAGACGAAAAATAATTTTAAGTTGTACAAATTGCTAAATATGAAAATAAATTATGAGTTGGATATAATATAAAAATTATAACAAATTAAAGTATAATGTTCATTTAAACCAAACTAATCGTTAATACTTGATATATATTTAAAAGTATACCATTGTACCATATAGTAGATATTGCTGTAATTTAATTATTATAGGGTAAAGGGCCAAACAAGCCCTCTAACTTTACACAAAACTGCAATTACATCCTTAAACTTTTGAAAGGTGCAATTAGACACTTCAACTTGTCATTTTGGTGCATTTGAACATAATAGCTAGTTAGTGACTTGTAATAGCAGGGCGTTATAGTTTCGACGATGTTATAGAAGAAAAATTAGCACCAATCAACAAACGGTGGTCGATAGCCTCTTTGAAGACGGAAACCAATCCAGTCGACCAGGTGGCAATTTTTGTGAACGACAGCGGTCAATCACGACGTACTTTCTGCAAGTAACCTGGTTGTTACCGGTAAATCAAACTTATTTAACCGATTTTTATAAGTCGAATTATGTTTAATTGCACATTTTAAAAATTGAAAGGTCTAATTACACTTTCGTGTAAATTAAAGTTGAATGTCCGATTATATTTGACCCTTTTCACATTTTTATATAGATAGCCTAAAAAAAGTAATGACATGCATTATATTTCAATAGTTATTGCGTGGACCATGGTCCAAAAATGACGTCATTTTGTTTATTTTATTTTTTTACGCACCCAGCTTCAACATATAGTTTTATAACTCATAATGTACATTATTCTAAAACATAATGTACATTATTTTAAAACATAATGTACATTATATTACCCTAGATATTTCATTCGTAATGTACATTATTCAAATACATGAAGTAAATCATTCTAACATATAATGTACATTATTTTTACTCATAATTTTTCACAATGTTGTTTTATTTGGACGGTGATCCATACAATAATTTTCCATGATATATAGAAGGAAGTAAGCAAAACCAAAAACAAGTATTAGGCCGGGTTTATGTCTAGAATATAATATGCTTGCTTGCTTGCCTGCCACAAAATGTTGTAAAGAGAATCCAGTTTATTTCCTCATTGTGAATAATTCAGATGTTGTCGGTCCAAGTTAATTAATTAATTAATTATCTGGGCCCTTTTTTTCAGAGATACGTTATGTTGTTCTAATGGATGTGTTTGTATATACATGTATGCTTATTGTGTTATTATTATAAAAAAAATAAAAATAAAAAAATTGCTGCCTAACTATTATTTAGTAATATAAATGGGTGGAAGGTGAGTTTTACGGTTTTACCCCTAGTATTAATATAGCTAGAAACCTTATCCTATGTATAAGGTGAGAAAATGAAGCTCTCACGTACTACATACTGCGGCATCCTATCCGGGCGGGCAATAGGATAGATTAGAGTCCATGGCTGCTGCTGCTGCTGCAGCATTGAGCTGCAAATTTCATATCTGGTACAGCTGCAAGAATGGTGAAATTACAAGGGTGAAAGGCGGCAGGGCGGGTTCAATCATCAAGTGTGGCATGGCGGCGGCGCAGAGCAATAATAATAAAAATATAAAGGTGATCATAAATGGAGCTGCAAAGGTGATAGGAAAAGCTGCTGTGGTGGCCGTAAATAAAGCCAGAGGAATGGAAGTTGCCGGCGCCGTGGATTCCCATTTAGTCGGGGAAGACATCGGCAAAGTGTGTGAACTGGAAGAGCCATTAGAAGTCCCTATTATTAACGACCTCACTATGGTTCTGGCTTCCATTTCTCAGGTACTATACTATACATACGTAATTAATCATATATATATATATATATATATATATATATATATATATATATATATAACACTTAATTCTAGTTAGTTGAATTCGGATATGATTCTGATTTGTTGTTAATTATTAATATAATGGCTGCCGGCATAATATCCAGTCGAATGCAACGGGAGTGGTACTTGATTTCACTGACGCTTCCACAGTTTATGAAAACGTAAAACAGGTAGGTAGGCATATATATATATATATATATATATATATATATATATATATATATATATATATATATATATATATATATATGCATAATCTTATCTTAATTTTAAAGGATTAAGCAATTAATTAAGCTAGTTAGCTAGCTAGGTTTGACAGCAGCCGTGGGTTAGCCTTAATTGTACGTGTTACATGACGACAGGCGGCTGCATTTGGGATGAGAAGTGTGGTGCACGTGCCTGGGATTAAGCAAGACACAGTAATGGGCCTATCTGCTTTCTGTGAGAAGGCCAGCATGGTGAGATAGAGATGTTATTATATATAATCCATCCATCTCTCGCTCAGCTCTAAATTAAAAACAAAACAAATTAACCTTAATTACCTACCTAGTAGTGTACAACGTAACGTAACACACGCTAGATAGCTTGCATTCATTAACGTACATATTACCTACCAATTACCATACAGGGCTGTTTGGTAGCACCTACGCTTTCCATAGGATCAATACTTGTTCAGCAAGCTGCAATTTCGGCTTCTTTCCATTACAACAACGTTGAAATTGTTGAGTCAAGATCCACTTCTGCAATAACAGTAAGTTCACTATATATATGTGCATATGTACTTGTCTATATTCATGCATATATGTTACTAGCGCAGCTGCTTAGAAAGGCATAGACAACATATTGAATCATCAGAGATTATATATATGCATGTGTTGTTGCACTTGCAGGATTTCCCATCGCAGGATGCAGTACAGATTGCCAACAACATTTCAAATCTGGGCCAAATGTACAACAGAGAAGACATTTCCGCAGAGACTCCGGTATGTATGTAAGAATTGAAGCTAGCTAGCTACATACTGCATACTCGGTCACCTAGCTAGGAAAATTATAGCTAGTGTTCATCTCATTACATACATATATATGAAATATAATCGGGGCACTTGCCATTTTGTTTGTTGTTGTATATATATGTTATACAAGCTAGGCAAGGGGCCAAATTGTGGGGGAAGATGGAGTGCGTGTGCATAGCTTGGTTCTACCAGGCCTACCATCCACCACAACAGTCTATTTCTCCAGGCCCGGCGAGGTCAGCATTATATTGCATGCATGGATCGGATCGGACAAAATTATTAATGCTATGCTATTGCTAGCTAGCTAGCTACCTGCGCTGATTATATATATTCCATGCCATATATCAACTTTAATTTTTGCATTAATTCAATCTTGCTAGTTTATTTATATATATAAATTAAATATAATTTGGGACAACTACATTTTCCTCCTATATATATAATTGTTGGCCTGGGTGGGTGTCAGGTTTACACACTTAAACATGACATCACAGATGTGCAATGTCTGATGCCAGGCCTACTCTTGGCCATCAGAAAAGTTGTGCGCCTAAAGGTACGTACGTACAAGTAGTTGGATCTTAATATATAGATTCCTGATATATGCATGCAGCTACCTGCTAGCATCGATCATCAGCAACTTATTCTACGTTTTGGTTTTAATTTATTGTTTGCAGAATCTAGTCTACGGATTGGAGAAGTTTTTGTAGCTAGGACTCCACCACGTACCTACGGCTCTCTCTCTCTCTCTCTCTCTCTCTCCCTCTATATATATATATATATATATATATATATATATATATATATATATATATATATATATATATATATATGCATGTAACCGGCCTTAGCTTCTTTTTAATTTGCAGAAATATATGCATGCTTCGTTCAATGGAACTCAGGCACGCAGTACCTAGCTACCATACCTCATTATTTTCATCATATCATTCTTTGATTTTCCCTTTCTCAATCTCCAGAATTTCATCAACATATCTCGATCTCTAAGCATTATATATATTACTTTATTAGACTTACAAATTAATTAATGGAATTAAGGAATTGCATTGGGAGATCGAATTGAAGCAATAATATCCTCCTCAGAGGTTGCTATATATGCAAAATAATTAAATCAAAGAATTGGAAGAAAGAATAATATATGTTAAACCATATATATATGAATTCATACGCGCGCGCTCAGAGAATTGATCCAACTTTTGGCATGCATGATAAAATACAATACACCTCTCTGATCTGATCTTTTACATCAGATCAACAGAGATGGCTAATATATATGAAGATCAGATATGCATGTACTGTAGGTTCAGATTTCTCTTTACTAGCTAGCTAATACCATTTACAGTATACAAATGTTAGATCATCAGACCAATCTAGGAATTAAAAGAAGCTAGCAAACAACGTAACTCCTTCAATTCCTTTTTAATTAAGCTAAGCTAACAATGAATCATACCAAATTAAACTTCACTCTTTCAGTCTTTTGCCTACTACACAGATTTTTTAGAATACGTACGTACAATAGTGTTCGTTATACATACATACATATAAATATTGGGTATGCTATATATAGTACTCTTTTTTTTTTTTTTCTTTTTTTAAAGATCGACTCAGAATGAAATATTTTTAAATTTTTCTCCAAGCTTAATAGGGCAAATGAAGACGGAATCTAAGCACAGGCCACCTTTAGTGTGAGTACAATCGATTTGAGTCATGGAAAAGTTGAGGTTGGTCGGAAGATGAGAGTTCTCCACAACGAAATCTCCAACATGATAATGTATCCATTTTCCGGCAGGTTGGTTCAAATAATACTGACAAGTAACATGTTGGCCGTGTGACGATGATAATTGGAACCGAACTGGTTTCATGTTCCACCCATGCACTTGTTCCACCTCGCAAACTCGCCGCCCCCATTTTTTAGATGGTTTTCCCAGGTGTAGCCGGAAAAAAAGGCTGTAAATTCCGGCTGGAAATTCCAACTCTAAGCTCCCTTCTACTTCAACCCACCATATTTGCTTCAAATATGCAATGCTTGAAAATCTGCTCCAAATATAATGCATATATATAATTACAATCATGTGGATCATATCAGATTATTAGTCATCAGTATAAATAGCACTATTGAAAAAGACAAGGGCAATTTAAAAAAAAAAAAAAAAATATTTTAAGGGATTATTTGCCAAAAAAATCCAGAGTTCAAGGCGGCCGGCTGCGGAAGAGGCCTATTTCGAGGTTCCTCAACGAGTTCGGGCGCCGCCTAGCGTCTAGGCGCGATTTTTACAATAGTGATAAATAGAATGAATATTGCCATAATCTTCATTTAATTTCACTACTGTATTTTCTTCTAAGGTGTTAATTAGTATAAATTTAAAGAAAATTCTGAGGTTATGAACTTATTATGATTGACACTTTGTATTTTATATTTAATTAATTAGTACAATTTCAATGAAAATGAAATATGTTTTGAAAAATATTACATGGGCTCTCACTCTTTACTCCCAACTTCTACTTCCTCTAACAAATTCTTTGAGGTAGACACTTTTTTTTTTTTGGAACCCACATGATAAAAATATCATATCTTTGTTTACCAAAAATAAAAGTGAGAGAGTAGATTTGAGAGTACATGTACTTAGAAATCAAATGCTTTTAGGTTATACAAGGTACTATGGGAACAATAATGTCCCACAATTCTTTGATATAAACCCAAAACATTTCTCAAATTTTTTTGACTTGTACCTAGTCCGATCCATAATTATAAATTATAATTATGATATAACACTGAGGGAAAATGATCAAATAAGTCTTAGTGCCCAAGAAGACGATCAACTTGGTCACCTTCATCTCCGACAAAATGTGATCGGCGACTGTTAATCGTCGCCGATCGTTAATTAGTATTTGATCTAGTTGGCCGGAATTTGGTCAGATGTTTGTCGGAGGTTCGCCGGAGTTGGCTGAAACCCTAATTGACATGCAATTACAGGTCACCAACATGTTAGTGAGTTTCATTGCTCCAAAACAATACGTTTGTGGATTTAATTGTAACTTCTAAAAATTTAAAAGACTAATTGACTTTTGAAGTAAAATTTAGGAGCTTATTTGACCCTTTCTCTATAACTAATAACTAACATTTTAAAGCCTTTTATCCTTTTTAGTATGTATATATGCGAAAGGACAAATTAGTCTTTTAATTTTCGTATGTATATATACAAAAGGACAAATTAAAGATCAACTCCTTAGAGGCATGGGGCATCGATCCACCTTGACAAAAGGCTTCGTCAACAACCCATAATCCTTATAGGCATAGCACATATGTACAGACTGATGAATTGGGATGGTAACTTTGGAAGATAATGAGTGTGTTTGGAAAATGACTTATATTTAAAGTTTAATTTGTTTAATTAACTTTATCATGTTTAACTAGTCAAACAATTAATATAAGTGTTTGGTAAATAATTTTTTATTTATAATTTGGTGGTGATGGTGGTAGTGAGGTGGTGGTGATATGTTGTTGATAGTGTTGGTGGTGGCAGTGGTGGTGGTGACGGTGGTAGTGTGGTCTTGTATTGGTGGTGGTGGTGTGAAGTTGGTGTAAAAGTTGGAAATTAACTTTTCATGAAAGTGATTTTCCTCCAAAACAAACCTATTTTTTTAAAAATGAAAAATGATTTCCGTTGACTTGATTTTCCAGGCACGTCCAAACACGAAAACTTGGAAAATGATATAAAAAGAGGAAGAAAAAAAACCTGGATTCATCAGAATCGGAGACATGAGTCCAGTATCTCCGATCGTCTATGCCGGTTATCTTCATCTCTTTCCAGGAGACAGACACACATATTCCTCCTCCATTCTTTTCCAACCATAGTTCCTGCACATATATGTATTTATTACTTGGATCCGATCATTTTATATATATTATTAAATTAAATTTCCAGTACGTGATGAACATACATACAGATAAAGTTGATGTAATTAAAGATGAGATGGGAGGAAGTAATTAAGGAGAGCAGCGCAGGTGGGTTGGATTACATACCTTGTAGCCTCCTCCAAATCTAGTAGGACGAGAGAGTGTGGCAAATATTTGTTTCTTAGAGTTGAAATTAGTGTTGTGAGCGAAGAGGTTGTTGAGAAGAAAGTGATAATTATGAGGCAACTTGGAGTCCCAGACGGCATCACTTGAGGAAGCTCGACGGAAGGTTGGATTCACAGCTGCCAAAGCACAAATCTGCGTCGCCTCCAACCGCGAAAGAATCAACGCCACACAGTTTTCCGGCAACTCTCCAATACTCGTTTCACTACTCCTCCTCCTCCTGCAGCTGCACCCGTCGCCGCCCATCATTCCTGAAATACCTGCCCCCATTATATTGCATATATATATATATATATATATATGCACAATTCAATTCAATTCTTCGATCGATCTCTCATGTGCTGCGTTGCTAGCTAGCTAGCTAGCTTTTAAAGCTAACGGATCGGACTTAATTACCCTAATTATATTATACATACATCTTCTACGCTCACGTAGGAATTGGCCGGAAGGCTAATAGCTAGCTAGCTAGGAAGGACAGACTCCACTTGCCTATTGCCTAATGCCTAGCCTATATATATATACCATATACGGAGTATATATTATTACAAATATATTAAATGAAATGAAGAATCTTTTTTTTTTACAACAACAATGAAATGATTAAATGAAGAATCTAATTACTGTAGTATGTAACATGTCGACCAGTTAAACCCATTTGTTCACTTCTTGCGCTTTAAACTCACGCTAACGTAGGGATTAAGACGTCAAATGAAAGAGTAAGTCTCTAATATAACGAGACTTGTGGGTTGAACTAAGATGAAAATATAACACTTATGTTAAAAAACCTAATACACTAATACTAATCAGGAATAAATTGCTTTGTTATAGTGTAATACTTTGTTGAAAAATGTAATATTTTAAAATCAAAATATAATATTTAAGGGTTGGAAAGTTATTTATGAGAAAAAAAAGTATAATACTAATAAGGATAAATTGATCGATTGTTACTTATCATAAAAAATATAATACTTATAAAGAAAAATGTAACATTTTGATTATTATAAAGAAAAATGTAATATTTAGTGTTGAAAAACTACTAATAAGAAATAAAAATACCTAATCTGTTTTACATATGAAGATCTGCGTGTTGCTCTCATGGGAGATGTTGTCCAAATAAAATAATTAGATTTCCATGCACGTGCTTTAATTTGGAAGGGTATATAGCTCCATTGCCATTATTATATATGGACGGAGTTCAATTATGCGTTTCACATCATATTTAATTTTCTTCACATCATAACATGCAATGTTAAACTAATTATTAAATTATATTAAACATTTCACGCGTCTCACATTATATATTATAATAATATGTAAAAAGCAAAAATTAAAAAATAAAAATAAAAAATCCTCAATTGCTCGTTCAATTCACGTAGTTTGATTGATATATATATATATATATATGTGTGTGTGTGTGCGCCCAAACAAATTAAATTTATGGTATTATTAAGTAACAGGTCTTGACGTGGTGGATAGTGGATACAAAGCTAATTTCACGTTAATCACGTTTGATTGGTCTATTCAAATTACTGTTCCAATTTTATATATGCTTAATTTGCTGGAGTGGTGAAGTCCGTGAAATTGATATGATAATACAAGTGGATGATAAGATGTACAGTTCTCACTTATCAGGCAGCCCAATATAATCAACGATATATATGATGCAATCTCCAACCACCGATACGCCAATTAATGTGACAACTTGCATTGTTTGTTTAATCCATATTAGCTGCTGCATCATACCATATCCAATTATTACATAATACATGATTCACGTGATCTGAGACTTCTGAGTTACCATACCATACCATACCTCAAATATAATGCATCATTTTATACATATACATATGTTGGATGACAAGTCCATCAGGCTAGGGGATTGTTGGGCGACGGTCAATGAAGGACCAAGTCCAACACCGTACCTCTAAGAAAATAAAATTATGCTTTCGTTACTAACTATAATTTTTTACGTGGAGGTAATAAGTGTCTGATCCTAACAATTGATATTAGAGTCCGGCCACGCGCTATATATATATAATACAAAGTAAAGGAGGCCGTGTGTTCCTATACAACTAATTAAGGAGAACAAGAAACAGTAGCTTTGCAATCTAGAGCCAAATTAAAGCAAATGGAAACAATACAAACCTAGCTACGTACAGCCATATGCCTTATGGGTAGCTTAATTCTCAAGTTTTGGCAGGCTCATCACTCAGCTTGCACTTCTTCATAACAAAGGGGGCAATTCTGCAAGACAAACCCACGCTCATTGCTATATTATAGGTAAATCACATACTAGGATAGAGCTTTCAAACTGAAACACTGAATGGATTTAACTGTTGCTTTACTGTCCGGGTATCTTGTTCTGCTTTATAAATACAAAGTGAAGACACAACAGACATACAAATATGTGGTTTAACAAACCATATATGTAGCACATACAACGTAACACATTACCTTTAACGTAACGAGTATTATGTATTAGATATTCAAAGTGGCATTTTATTACCTTGCTTTCTTTCAGCCAGCGTGTTATACACTTTGTATGGTACTTGTGTGCGCAAGGTAAACTCATCAACCCATCTCCATATGTATATTCCACGTAACATATAACACACCTAGATGCAAATAGCAAAATATAACTGTGAGCGGGATGCTAGGTTATCACCATCCTTGATAAAGCTAAGGGATTTACCAAACTCAGTAAATCTTATAATATTATATGCATTAGAATTGACAACACAGTCACTGCCCAATCAAGCACTTTCAATGTACTTGTAGTGAACTTTAAACGTCCAATGTTTAGGGATTTATACACATCATTTATAGATAAGTACCCTGTACTAAAGTTTCCTACATGGCATGTTATATATAAATACAAGCATCCAAAAATTCAGCCTCGAGCAGTGACAACTGAGTACACACAGTGCCATTCCCACTAACAGTTAGAACTACAAATAAAAGCCTCCTAATTGAAATATAAGATGATGCTCCAGTCCATGTATGTTTTACCTACTTATATCTCATGGTCTACAAAACGGTTCAGATGGCACAAGTTACTAACAATATTTAAGGGATGTGTTAATATGAACTATGACTAAATTAAAGCATTTCCACAGCTCATATTTTCATAAGAACATGCACGGACATTTCACTAACACTTGCAACTACGAAAAGAAAGGAAGATAGAAAATATTTTAATGAAGATTGCTCATACTCATCCTTCTGTTTCTTTGAGAAAAATCCAACTTTGTATTTGAAAGTTGGCAATTGAGATATGACATCATCTGACAGCCCTCTGCTTTCATGCCCAACAGCTTCTCCCAATGACCGTAATTCCTGACAAATGAAAAAGAGATGATAAGTCAGTAGCACAAGTTATAGTGTAGTACAAACATGATATTTTTTTTTAATAGCCTCATATGTGTATCAGAAATACTATTGCCATTGATGGCTCATACCCCTCCCAGCCTTTCTATACTCTTAACAGAGAAGAAAGTGCATGGAAGAATAGGAAGGAAGCAAACCAAGTCCACTGACAAAATTGGCATCATTCATATACCCTATGTTTTATGTTTGCATTTGATATTCTTGCAGGAGCAAGCACATTTAAGATGAAGAACAAAAATGAAATTTACATCATTGCCTTTAAAATTCTGCAATGTTCCCTACCACCTTTTCAAGAGAAGTTCCATTTTCTCCAGTGAAACAAACTTGAATTTTCATGAGCAAAATGAAACTGAGAAAGAAAAGCTAATCATCACGTCTCAAGCATTTGGAATCATCTCATGTTCAATGTTGTCATGATTACTAAAGATATATCTTCCAGAAAATGATACAAGTGTGACAGAAGCCTCATTGCCATTCTACAAAAACTAAAACAAATGTGGCAATTTCAATTTGACAGTGTAAGAGTAGCCATCCTTCAAGATGCAACTTTGATTTTTCACTTTCTAAGACACAACCAATATTGAATGAAATTTGAGTAATTTACTCTTGTCAAATGTAAGAAAACCATATTAGGGTGGAAAGGTAAAAATGTAAAGCTTTGGTTTCAAGTCCAGAAGCAAAGAATTTCACAGAATTGAGAGAAAAACAAACAGTAGAATATGGCACTCCCTATTACTAAACTAACCTCATAGCTCATATTGTCAGGATCAACATCATCTTCCCTTGGATTTGAACTTTCAGCCTGCATATAGACATGGAAACCTAAAATCACACATTTAATAAACTCATTGTGTAGAAAACTATTGGAGGGAGCAATAAGTGTTGCATGAGACCATTGTAGGAGTTTCTCCATGAGTGGATTCCCCATTTCCTGTAAACAAAGTAGAGGTTAGTTTTGCTTCCAGGCCAAGAGTCCTCTATTCTAACCATATTCTTGGTTAATAAACAGATAATGGTCAACCTGACATTTAGCAGAAATAGCACCATAAGAAATTGGTAATTAAAATAATCCAACTCATTTCATCTCTATCTACCCTCTTTCAATTCTGAATAACCTAAACCCATTCATTACAGAATGCTGCTTAACACTCAATACAGTTGAACAGCAAATAATTTCCCTAGTGTCTGGAAATTAAGTCCTTAAACCACTACAGCTTGTACAAAATTGACACTGCGTAATTACCAGCCACTGTATCATGGTCTTGATGTGTGCAGAAATTTTCTAAATCATCCCCCAACTCTAATGATCTAGCTAGAGCTTCATCCAGAGCCAATTGTGATGCAATGCTTTCACCATGCGAGGATTCATCATCTGGTGCTGAAACCTGACTACCATTACTGGTTTGACCATGTTCACCAAGAGCATCTTCGTTTTTCCAACATGCTTGAAGTGATAAATACACAGTTTCCTATTACATGACAGGAAACTGTGAAATTCGTTTTACAATTAAAAGTGAATATGAAATTGCAATTCTATGGCAACCATATATGTAAAGAAAGGTAAAGAAGCTTCAAGAAAAGCCACAGTACCTGTTGCTGGAGAACTTCCTCATAACTTAAATCACCATCCTCAGGAAATAACTCTTTTAGATTAATTTCAGGCGGGATTCCATCAGTGGAATAATGGATATTGAGCTCAGCGTTACTCATGGTGGATGTTTCAGATAGGAGGAATCTCTTTGGCAGCCTACAAAAAGTTGAGTCAACGCTACTCAGTTTATAAGAACACAATAAATATAGAGCAGATAAAGGAAGACTTGAAGAAATTTTATTGTCACAGCTTGGTAACTGGTTAACCACAAATGTAAATACATTAAGAGATACAGAGAGCAATCACTAGTATTAATTACTGTTTTTCTACCCAAATCAAAGTAGTCCCAGAATATCACAAACTAATTGTAGCAACTCCAAATGATAAAGACAGCTCTGAAAGACTGATATTGACAATAAACACTAATAAATTATGAATTCATGACGACCAACCAAGTCACAGGAAGATCCAACTGCACAAGATGGCAAAGTGGAAAATCACAGTAGAAACTGGCAAAAATGCAAAGCAAAGTTGTTTTGTTTAAGATGTTGATGGAAAAGGATATCCTCACTTGGCTCTCACCAGTACTTGATTTTAAAAAATATAATTTAAAAAAAAAAAAAGAAAAAAAAAAGATGCAATCTTTAGTCTTTACGCCTCACAGAGGATTTGCCATTACAAAAACAAATATGCTCCAGAAAGCACAAAAATCTAGCAGCAATTATGCATATTCATCAGAATTGACAGAGAAGAGAGTTGATTCAATTACAATTCAAGAATGCAAAAAATTGAGAAAAATTTCACCTTTAACTCAAGAAAAAGGAACTGGGCTCTTGACAGAGCAAAAGAGAGTGAGAGTGTAGTGAAGCCAAGAGAAGAGAAGGTGGGAAGAAAGGAAAGAAAGTGATACTCCTCCGTAGATACTAATCTGAGTTTAAGATTGCGGGGAGGTGGTGAGAAAGCGACTGGGTGGAGGGGTCCACCTGCTGCTTTTTTCTGCGCAAAAGATCGGCCGGCCGGCGATATAAATTAGGAAAGGACGGGGAAGACCGAATAGACACGGCAAATTATAATATGATCTATGGATCAGGGTCTATATATAATTATCAAATATAGTTAACATGTTATATTTTTAAAATTTATTTATAAATATAAATAATTAATTAATACAAAATATATCAGCACCCATTTGTGATAAATAGAGTAGTTGTTGTGTATAGGTGAGACTGTGAAAGCAAAAATGATTTCACACTTTTTTTTTTTTTATCCATTCAGCACCCAATTGGAATTCTTTGGGGGAGGGAGGAGGGGGTCTAAATTTTTAAATTGGAAAATGTAAAGAGTTAATTCCAGCAATGGTCCTTCGACTATATTGATTTTTTAAAATTAGTCTTCAACTTTTAATTTGGACATTTTACGTTCCTTGACTTTTAATTTTTTTCCAATTGAGGTCCTTTCGTCAGATTACGGTAAAGTGGACTTTAAATGAAAGGATAAATGAAAGGACACCATTGTCATATTTCTTCCTTGTATACGCGACTTCGGACATAATAATCACTTAATTGCTTAATCCCTAATAGAATTTTGTTCTTCGAGTGGATTTAGAGATTAAGCAATTAAGTGAATCTGATGTCCGAAGTCGCGCATATAAGGGAGAAATACAAAGAATTATATATTAGACAGATAAAATGACTACTTTATCTTTTCATTTAAAGTCCAATTTATCGTAATCTGACGAAATGACCTCAATTGAAAAGAAATTGAAAGTCAAGAGACGTAAAGTGTCCAAATTAAAAGTCGATGACTAATTTAAAAAAATCAACATAGTCAGAGGACCATTGTTGGAATTAACTCATATGTAAATAAAAAACATAAGGTCAATTAGTACAAGTAACACTGGAGCATACTCTTAATTACAAATACAAATCGAGAAAAACAAAAAATCCAAGCCCAAGACTAAATTACAATGAGATATTAATAAAATAGTCCCAGCCCAAGCAAGCAATAAAACAAAGCCCACAACACTTTTAAGCCCAAACAACAAAACCGATTTACCGAATAACCGCCACATCAGATAGTAAATTCTAATTCAGTAATTGGAGAGAATTGCAATTCCCTCCAACCAAAAGGAGTAATTCACCCTGTTCATTGAATTTCAATTCCTTTACAACCAAATGATAGTGTACTAAATGGGCCATTAGTTTTATTACATGTATTCCCATATATTTACTATCTGATGTGGCGGACACTAATAAGTTAAATTTGTCATGTGAGTCACCATGCAAGTGGCTACATCATGATTTTGTGTGTAAGAATAAAAGTTTGGAGTAGAAAATGAGAGTACATATGGTATTTTTCTTACTCAATAATGTGGTAAGATATATATGATAAGTTATCTTTATCATGTGAGTCTCAAGAAACTGTTATTTGTACACTTAACACAATTTACTTGCACTTTGAAGTTTAAATTATTTATAAAAATGTCATTGAGTTTTTTTTTAAGTGTTTATGATGTGTTAGATCTATCCAAATGGACGACTGCGATCGGTTCTTAATTCTCTCATGGGCGCGAGTTCTCATTTGATCCGTTTGTGTGTGTGTGTGTGTGTGTGTGTATATATGTGACGGATCATGTGAGAATCACATGCCCAGTAGAAGAATAAGAACCCATCATAGGCTCGTAGTCGTCTATCTGTCCACATCTAACGGATCAGGAACACTTAAAAATGCGATGACAATTTTATAAATAATTCAAATTCGAAGTGCAAGTAACAGTTTCATAAAGTGCACCTAAGTGCAAGTAAAATGCATTAGAAATGCAACAATATAATATATACCGAGCAACAATATTGGTAGGGAATACCCCGACCGACATGCCTTTGTCTTTTATTCTTGTTTATGCAGGTTACAGGTCGGACTTTCTTAGAAGAATCCGGTCGGAACCGACCGAGGTCTTCGTTACCCGAGTGAGAACCCTTAGGCGAGAGAGCCAGGAGGAAGCACGTGGCAGTGTTAGGCGTTGACAGGCAGGGCTAACGGGGAGAAGACACGTCATTGCTACGTGGGTGACATGCCGGGTGGCCAGACTTGTGTCTCCGGCCCAGCGACTATAAATACCCGCGGTGGCAACAGTGTGGGGGACTTTTGGACGATCGATAGGTTGTTATCAGAGCATCCCGACCGCAATCCGTCGGTACTCGGAACAACCATTTAGATTGTACTTAGGGCCTTCAACTTGATCAATAAAAGTCATTTACTTGCTTTAATTGGTCTTGTGTTAGTTATTTACCGCTTACGTGGCAATTAACACTATCATTTTGGCGCCGTCTGTGGGGACCGTGCACGAAAGTTAACGTCTTGACGAGCACCCGTCCTTTCTATCACAATGTATCCCTTCGCATACAACCTGTTTGGGAGTTTGAATTGGTTCTCGTTTCTCTTTGGGAGTTTGGGATCTGTCTCACCTACGTGTGCCCCTATATATATATATATATATATATATATATATATATATATATATATATATAAAAGTGTGCCCCTATATTTATTTATTTATTTATACTTAAGTGTCTCCGACACTTGCGGACCTCGAATCAGCTATCTAATTTTCCTCAGTTTTACACGACTAAGGTGTAAGGTGATGAAGAGCAAAAAACTGGGTGTTACTTCCATCAATCCATCCTTTGATTCTTCCATGGAGGGTGAGGGTAGCAGCTCAGGCGGCCTACCTTATTACACCCCAACTTATAAGCCTGCCCTACCTCTACACAACCATCAATATTATTCTTCCCCCAATAATAAGCTTCTTTATCTTGCCCTGCTTGCCATCTTCTGCACTCTCTCTTATCATTTTGGAACTTGGCAAAACGGCGGCGGCGCCTCCGGCACTTCTATTAGTTCTATCTTCACCGCCAAAATAGCCACTGCCAAAACTTGCTTATTTTCCGGAAACACCGCCACTACCCTTTCCTCCACCACCCAATCATTATCATCTCATTCCGCAGGGTTAGACTTCACCACCCACCACGGCGACGGCGACGGCGGAGCTGTTTTAGGCAACCATGATGAGGATAGCGTCAAAGTTTACCCGCCGTGTGACGTCAAGTACAGCGAGTACACTCCTTGCGAAGACACGGAGAGATCCCTGGCGTACGATAGGGAGCGGTTGATATACCGAGAGAGGCACTGCCCCAAGAAGAGTGAAGTTCTCAAGTGTCGGATACCCGCCCCGTTCGGATACAGAAACCCGTTTAAGTGGCCGGAGAGCAGGGATGTAGCTTGGTACACTAATGTGCCTCACAAGGAATTAACGGTGGAGAAAGCGGTTCAGAATTGGATTAGGTTCGAGGGCGACCGCTTCAAATTTCCCGGTGGTGGCACAATGTTTCGCAACGGCGCTGATGCTTACATTGACGACATTGGAAAATTAATCAATCTCAAAGACGGCTCCATTAGGACTGCCCTTGATACTGGCTGTGGGGTACGTACGGTAACAAGTTTAATTTTCATTATATTGCCAATAATAATTAATTTATATTTTCTCCTTTGCATTAATCATCCACATGCAAATTTTAAAATAAGTTCACATTTATGTGAAATTGTCTCATGGATTCTTATCTATGAGACATATCCGGTTGAGTCGGCCTATATAAAAATGTAATACTTATACTACTAATATTAATTAATAATAAAGTATTTAATTTGTTATATGATATTTAATTAGAATATAAAATGGAAGGAAATAAAAATATCCGGCCTAAGGACAAACTACATTAATTTAACGGATCGGAAACAATTAAATTAACGAATTGTCAGAATGGTTTCTGACAATAGAAATACTTATCAGTTTGGTTGGCAAATTAATGTAGCAGTTGGCCTGACTAGAGAATTAATGAGTAGTCGGAGTCAAGATTTGGCTGTTTGTCATTTAAATTCAAAACGTGCATGCAATGGCTTCATACACATTTGCATGTAGCTAGGTTTTATTTCGAAAAGAATCTCGTTGCATGAGAATGACTTTTTGGAATGTATAGTATGAGCTCTCAATATGACCACTTGCTACCTAAAGAGAAAATTAAACCAATTATCAGTGAGCATAATATATAGTTACAATAAACTAACTGTATTTTATTTTCAAAAAAAAAAAAAAACTGTATTTTGGAATATATACACGTTCTAGCTTGCTACTATATACACGTTAGAGAAAATTGAATTGTGTGTGTACTAATTAACTAACAGGTTGCTAGCTTTGGAGCATATCTGTTGTCGCGTAACATACTTACAATGTCGTTTGCACCAAGAGACACTCACCAATCTCAAGTCCAATTCGCTTTGGAAAGAGGAGTTCCTGCTTTGATTGGCATTTTAGCCTCCAAGAGACTTCCCTATCCCTCTAAAGCTTTTGACATGGCTCATTGCTCTCGTTGCCTCATTCCTTGGGGCCAATATGGTACGTATATATAGTATGTAGGCCGGCCATCCAGGTGTACGTGACTACGTACTTTAATTAATTAATTAATTTAATTATATATTTACATGCATGGGATGATATACATACATATATATGATGTATGTAGATGGGGCGTATTTGATTGAAGTTGATCGAGTGCTAAGGCCTGGTGGGTACTGGATTCTCTCCGGCCCACCAATCAGATGGAAAAGATACTGGCAAGGGTGGGATAGGACGGAGGAAGACCTGGAAGCCGAACAAACTCAAATTGAGAAAGTTGCAGACAGTTTGTGCTGGAAAAAATTCATGGAAGTTGACGATATTGCTATTTGGCAAAAACCATACAATCACATGGACTGCATTCGACTCCGACAGGCGCCGCCACCAATGTGCCCTGCATCCAACGATCCTGACATGGCCTGGTATACTGATCTACAAACATGTTTAACACCCTTACCTCAAGTGTCCGATGAAAAAGAGTTGGAGAAATGGCCAAAGAGATTAAACGCAGTGCCGCCAAGAATAAAAAGGGGAACAATAGATGGGATTAGTGGTGAGAAATTTGAGAAAGATTCAACACTGTGGAATAAAAGAATATCTCATTACAGTGCAGTGATGGATGGGCAACTAGTTGAAGCTGGGAGGTATAGAAACGTATTGGACATGAATGCATTCTTGGGAGGATTTGCAGCAGCTTTAGTAGATCACTCTCTTTGGGTCATGAATGTGGTTCCCGTCGAGTCTAAGCTTAATACACTCGGTGTCATTTATGAACGGGGACTAATCGGAACATATCACACCTGGTACCATGATAAAATTATTTAATTAATATTATTTCTTTTCTTCTTCTTCTTCTTCTTGTCATTGTTACTTGTAGTGTGTAGTTAAAAGTTGAGCCTTTAATTTTTTCTGCGTTACATACAGGTGCGAGGCAATGTCAACCTACCCTAGAACATATGATCTCATTCACGCGGATTCGATATTCACTTTATACAAAGACAGGTGATTTTTAGTGGTGGCAATTAACTAATACTGTACATACTACTACTATAATATATATAATGCTAATTAATTAGATAATGGTTTGGTATTTATATATGTACGTAGGTGTGAAATGGAAGATATACTGCTAGAAATGGATAGGATACTAAGGCCAGAAGGAAGCGTGATCATAAGAGACGATGTGGATGTGTTAATCAAAGTGAAAAGGATTACAGATGGGCTGCAATGGGAAAGTCGAGTTGTAGACCATGAAGATGGGCCGCTTCAGAGGGAGAAGCTTTTGTTTGCTGTCAAGACATACTGGACTGCACCTGCTGCCTAACTAGCTAGCTTCAACTTTTTTTTTTTTTTTCCCTTTAAACAATTATATATCTACTTTTATTTAGTTATTTGGTTAACCACATTCATGTAAGTGTCAACTCTTACTACGTTTGTGTATATTTGACATTAATTCATATGATTTTGTGTTAACTAAAAGTTAAAGTATGTGTTTATTTGATTCTTTTGTGTCATTAAGGTGATTTGGAGGTATGGATTGTAAAATTATGTAAATTAGAGTTCAATTGAATGTGTTTTGACGTCATATTGATACAAATATGTGTTTCGTGAATCCTGTGAGAGGTCAAGAATTTTTTTTTAAAAAAAATGAGTTGAAAGTGTCATGATCTAGGATCCAAAGGAACAAAGAAAATGAAGAAAAAATACATTTATTTTAGAGTGAAGATAAAGACTCACCCTAACACTCACGACTATGAATGTCAACGTGTCACATTAAGCTTTATTTTTCTCGGTCTGACTACTTCTTAATATTTTAATTATATCTCAAGATATGAATGTTCAAATTAAAATTTTTAAACTACATTAGAAAATAATTGAAAGACAAAACTTTTATAAAATTTACAAAATTTAATTCCAGTTTCTACAAGGTAAAAAATAAGTTAAAAATAAGAATAATACAACGGTTACGACTGGATCGGACTCGCAACAAATGGGATAACCCCCTACCTACAGGCTACAGCAAGTTCAAAAGCATAAATTAATGGTAGGTAAATAGGGTCCATTATTGCCAACTAAACATTTAGTTGGTATTCCGTATATAAGTTCATGCGTGGTCAAGCTACTAGCTTAGGCTCCAATAAACTATTCTCTCAATATCTCATTTTATTTGGTATATTTAATATTCATTGATTAAAATAACTCTTTTTCCATGATTTTTTTAGTAGTTTTTTATTATTTTTAATTTTTTATTTAATAATTCTTTTAATATAGTTCATAAATATTTAAATTTTATATAATAATACTAAACTTAATATTATAAAAAAGTGAATTAAAAACAACTATAGTCAAGTCTCATTAATCGAATCAGGCAAACAAAATGTGACTTATAAATATGTCATTGAATTTACATCTTGTTAGTAATAAAGAATAAGGTACTTGTTATTTATGAAAAATGTAATATTTTTACATTTTAATTTAAAAGTATTTATAAATAATAAATATTATTATTCATAATTAGTACGGAGTATTACATTTTTCATTATAAGTATTACATTTACATCCTAACCTGATCCGTTATACGAATAAAGATTCGTGAAATGATTTTACATAGAGTGACTTTATAAATTTATACCGTTGCACGAATAAAGATTTGTGAAATGATTTCACATAGAGTGACTTTATAAATTTATACCGTTGCACGAATAAAGATTTGTGAAATGATTTCACATAAAGTGACTTTATAAATTTCTACAGAGAGTGCAATTAAAACTCAATTTGACACCGCCAATTAATGTGATGACATCTCTGATACTGCTAATTACCATGTAAGCAATAATTAAGCAAATATGAGACCAATTAAAGCAAGTAAATATCTTTATTGATCCCGGTGAAGGCCCTAAGTACAATCTACTTGGTTGCTCTGAGTACTGACTGACCGCGGTCGGGATTCTCTAACAACAGCCTATCGATCGTCCAAAAGTCCCTCACACTGTAGCTACTGTGGGTATTTAAAGCCGCTGCGCCGGAGACACAAATCCGGTCGTTCGGCATGCTCTCCACGTAGCCACCACGTGTCATCCTCCCGGGTGCCCTGTCTGTCGTCGCAAGGAGCCGCCACGTGTCCTTTGTCAGCTCTTTCGCCAAAGGGCTACCGCTCGGTGGTCGACACTGCCGCTCGGGCAACGGTCCGACCGGGTTCTTCACAAGAAGCCCGACCTGTTACCTGCAAAGACAAGAAGAAAAGACAAAGGCACACCAACCGGGGGAAAATTATGTCGGTCGGGATATTCCCTACCAAGAGCCCCCCCAGCCCGGGCCTTTTTGACCGTCCGGGCAAAAACGGGACGGGATGAAGAAGCCTAACCGTCGGCCACCCAACCGACCGACCAGCTGTCATTCCTTCCCTCGCCACGTGTCGGCCACTGCCGGCCTCTACGACTGCAACGGTCGCCTCGGAATCAATGCGGGTCGTGTCATGCAAGTGGACTCATTTCCCGCCTAAATGCTCTCCTATAAATAGGCCATTGAGGCCTCCATTTGAACTTTCTCCAACCTACTGCTTCGATCGGTACCCTCAGAGAGTCCCGAGTAGAGCACTTTAGCAAGGCAGTCGAGCAAAAGACTTCAAGACTCTTTTCGCAAAGCACCTTCAGTCGGTAAGTTTTCAGCCCCCTCTCTCACTTAGCATTTACATTCATACGTAGAACTGATAGGTCGCAACTAACTGTCCCGGACGTCTCGAATCCTCTACTAACCCGACCGACCTTTAGGTAGATCGAAATGACGGACTCTGACAGCCAAAACGCCTCGATCGCGGACTATGACGAGGAAGTCGAGCATCTCAGCGAGGAGGTGGACATCATGTCCTACTCCCCGGAAGTCGAGCAACGACCACGACAAATCCCCGAGCGGGTCCCAGAGCAGGAAAGGTCGTCGAGCTCCTCCGGGACGTCGGGGTCGAGCTCCAGCGGGTCGGGGAGCTCGAGCGAAGAGAACGGAGAAACGTCCACGAGCAGACGGAACTCCCCGGCTGAAGACGCCAGGGGAACGCCTACGAGGGTAATAGGGGATTATCCTCAGGTTGAGCCCGAAGAAGGCCACCGGGCAGACGACGCGGAAGCGGTCGAGGAAGACCCGGCCGGGCCGGCAGCGCCAAGCGGGGACGGGTTTGAATTCCTTAACAGCGAGAGCGTCGAAAGCCAGATGAGCTTGCTGACAAAAGGAGAAGCAAGCAGAATCGCTGCAACTCTTGCCGGTCGGGTCGAGTTCGACACTAGCAGGCAGCTCGGGAACATCATCGAGCGGCACCGGGGGAAGTGGCTCGGGATGCATTATGATTCACTAATGGCCCCGATCACTTTCCCCTTTTCAAGCCTCCTCACCGCATTCTTGGGCTACTACCAGGTTATGCCCGGAGAGATCTGCCTGAACGCGCACCGGATGATAGCGTGCTTCCCCCAGATATGCAGTCGGCACAACTTGGCCTGCACCATGGAGCTGTTCAATTTTGTTTACCAGGTGAAGGTGTTGGCAGCCGCATACGGGGGCGGATTTTTTATGACCCAGTCCCGAGCGGATAAGTGCTCGATTGAGGGGCTGCCCGGGAACAACCGGGGGTGGAAGAACCGGATCTTCTCAGTGAAATACGATTCGTGGATCCTCCCGGTCGAGAGGGTCTGGAGTCAGCGCTTTCAAAAGCAAGTCATCCCAACCGAGACTCAGGCCCTTATAGACGTCGTTACCAAGATCTCGGGCGAGGTTTATGAATACCGGATCTTCAAAACGCCCAAGTCCCTCGAGGCGGCCAACTTGCCCGAGCCCGTATACGACTTGCCTGAGAAATACAAGCCCGAGCCCCGGGGCGTGACGATCGCAAGGATGCCCGCTCGGGGCAAACGGAAGGGCAAAGGTCCAACATTAACTCCTCTTCCGACCCTAATAGCCCGACCGTGCTTCTAACTTGATCTAACCCTTTCTTTTATTTGCAGAGATGGCCGGTTTTGGAGATGAAGACATCCTACTACGCCCGGTGGTCAAGATTTCGCTGGGCAAGAAGAAAGCCCAGGCCAAGCCGGCTGGGGAAAAAGAGGTCCTGGTTGCCCGACCCATAGGGGCATCGACCGTCACCACGGCTGAAGGCTACGTGGTGGACGCATCTGAGATCCTGGTGACCCGGGTGGTGGCCGGGAAGGGCAAGGAGAAGACGACGGAGAAGAATGTCTCCGAGACCGGGGCCTTGAAACGGCGCCGTGAGCAGCACAGCCCAAGTCCCTCAGGCGGGGGCAGCAAGGGCGGATCTTCGATCCTCGCCCGGATCGGGAACGCCGGGTCGGCCAAGGAGGACGTCACAAAGCTGACCCCGAGCCAGGTAGCCGAGAAGATCGGCCACGACCTGGCTGAGGTAAACACGTTTCCTTCTTTTAAGTAACTCCACTCGGCTAAAATTCGATCGTTTTATGCACTGCAGATCTCCCGAGCGGCCCAGTTCCTTCAACAACGGGCCTTACAGGCTAATGAAGCCGAGGCCCTGAAGAAGGTCGCCAACCGGCGATTACAGGAGATCCGGGACCTCGAGGCTGAGCTCAAGAAGGTGAAAGCCGAGCGGGATCTCTCGGAGCAGGTCGCCCAGCAGGCGGTCGGGGAAGTGGCCGAGCTGAAGGCTCGTCAAAACGACCCGGACGAACTCGCCCGACACCTCTTCCGGGACAACGAGTCGGGCACTCGTTTTCTCCGGTCCGTTCGGGGCACCGAGATCGGGGAGAAGCTGGTATGGACGTTTGGCCGGTGGGCATACAAAGCCGGCCAACGGAAGATGCGCGAACAGACAAAGAAGATCATGGAGCAAGCCCTTGAAGGGGATGATCTTCAGCTGGTCCTAACTACGCTCCCTGATAACATACCCGACCCGGGGCCTGCACCCTTCGAGCCAAAGGAGCAAACTAAGGCTAGCGGAGCCGTGGCCACCCCAAGCGGAGCGGAGCTGCCGAAGAAAGGCGATGCCGAGGCCGCGAAGAAGTAGGATAGGGTTTACTTCTTGTTGTAATGACCTCGATCGGGAGCCCGGTCCCAAATTTGTACCGGGCGCTCTCTTTTTTAATCAATGAAGTTGGTTTTTTGTTCAACTTGTTGTGCTCGTTCTCTTTTTTCGCACTTTTATTTTTAGTCATGCGTGTGCCGACCTTTAATGCTCGACCTTGTGGTCTTTTGGCCCGGTCCTGCACTACTCGACTCGTTCGACACCCGACCTTATGGCCTTATGGCCCGGTCGTACATCCGAGATTTCGACGTCAAACTGGCCAACCCGATCGGGTTCACCCGATCTCCAGGCCTTGTCAAAATTTTGAAAATAGGTAAGCCTCCACGGTTAGGATTTTCCCGAGCGACGGGCCTTTCGACACTTCCAAATTTTGAAAATA